GCCCTCCCCTTTTTTTTTTTTTTTTTTTTTTGTTGAACTCATGTACCCTGTTGATTTGTTATGTTTGGTTTTTTAAATTAATTTTAAGTTTTCTGTGATGGATAATCTTATCATATAATAAAAGATTTAATATAATGTGTAGGAGCCTCAATTTAGTCCCGAGATCCAAAATCCGAGGCGGTCTAATCCAAAAAATAGCGGATTTTGGACTAAATTTTCTATCCGAAAAAAATCAAACTTCTGGACCGTATTCAAATAGTACTTGGGATTCGATTCGGATTGGTTCAAAAGTTCGATATTTTTTTCAAAAAAAATCTTAATAATAAAAAAATAACTTTACAAAACAATTTGAATTTGAACACGAAATATATAGAGTCGGGTTTCGAAATCCAAAAAAATCGGGTCAAACTGAACCCGAGTGCGCACTCGAGCCGCCCCTTGGTGAAATATATATGGGATTATGGGGGTACGTAACTGTTGCAAAAAATGGGTAAAGTTGGTGGGTGGAGCCCAAGAGTGATAATGTGTAATAGAGCCCATCTCTCTTCATCGGAGCCCAATTACAATATACTTTTGGGCCTATTTAAAATACTACGACCACATGGACATGCTTCTGAGTTTCCTAATATTATGTGAAAATAAATTTGAAAGAAAATTAGGGTACTTTAATATATCAAAATATAAAATATGTTTTAGTCATGAGGATATAGTAAATTTTTTATTGTTCGTATTTATAGATCATTGTAGAAACTGGTTTTTGTTTTGAAATAAATAAATACTTTTAATATAATATGATATCTCAATTCAGAGTAAGGAGAAGAGAAGAGAGTGGTTGCATATTTTATTATTTTTTTCTTCAGACATTTTTTAAGGCTAAAAAAAATCATTTTTTTTATAATATTGGGGAACCCCGTGACTACCTACCCTTACAAACGGAGACGAACTTGCCACCACTCGCGCCTAACAGTCCCCATGGATCTCTGTCCGCCGGACCTGGCCACCAGGTGCGCCTAACGTTCGGGCCGTAGTTGGGCTTAGGCGCCTGCGGGTCAAACCCCAAACCCACGACGCACGAGCATGCAACACACGCGTGGGATGTAAATCAGCCCATTAGGATAAAAAAAAAAGTCACTTCATTTATATCCTTTTAAATATTTATTTTCCATTTTACTTTCTTATTTTCTTGAGACCGCGCTTACCATACTGATAGTGTGATTCTAAAATTCATGTGACTAAAATTGTGATATTTATGCAACACATGAACCAAAGTAATTTCATAGACCCATATGATTCAAAATTACTCACGTAACCGTATGACCCGTATGTACATACGTATAACTCATCATGAGATCCATATGATTCAATATTTTTATTACTAATGTTTTGCCCTTCGATTTTCGTTTTCATTTCATACTCAACGCCGATAATGATTATATTGAGAAAGATGAAACCATTTAAAATTTTCTTTGAAATCACATTTTTTCTCTTATTATCGTTCGAAACTTTCTTTTTCTCAAGATTTAGATATCTAAAGTTATGAACCATATTTTGAAATTCTTTGGTTAAAATGATGGTTTTCTTTTGTTTTTCTCAAATTTTTTTTTTGAATTTTTTCTTTGTATAATAGGGATAAGTGAAGACAGACATTGAATGGTAGAATTTTAATGAAGGATAAAATTTTTTATTCAGAAAATTAGGGTTTTGTAAGGATAATTGAAGTGAAAATAACAAACAGAGGATATTTTTATACATATTTTCCGATTTACCTTCTCTAATTTTTTATACATAATTTTTATCCCCCAAATTGAAATGTGCCGGTATATTAAATGTATATATTTCCCTAGACTAAAAAATCAAAATTTATAAAATTTTCAAATTTTATTATTAAATTGATGAATTTTTATTTTTTTAAACAGACTAGTTATCTAAAAATTATATAAATATATAAATTTTCAAAATATGGAATAATAATTAGAATTTTATATTTTAAATAATAATATTATACATATAATTAGCAAATTTGGAAAAATATGGTATATTTTAACGTTTGGGGTAGAACAATAACCAATTATAGTGTTTTGGATCAATTAAAATCAATTAATGTTGACGAGAATGACAAATGATAGGTTTTTTTATATGCCACAAAAATTATTGACAGCTTGTTAAAAGTTTCATTCTCACGATAATATATGTTAACGGTGATTTTTTTTTTAAATAAAAATGTTAAATTTGATATCATATTTTATGCGCTGAACATAGATTATATGTATGACATGAGAGCTAATGATTTTTGCAAGTGGGTCCAACGTGAGGTGTCAAAACGCCTATAATTAGCCAAATAAATTCGCATTATTATAGTGTTAATTTTCGGGAAAATGACAGTAATCCTCTCTTAATATATATATATATATATATATATATATATCATTTAAAAAGGTGACAGCCTAAGAATCATTGATTGATAATCAATTTTATGAAAGCATGTGCACGCACATGGAGACCTAACGACTGCATGGTCCACTGCATATTTTCTTATTACGTTTATGGTATTGCATACAAAGGATCTTATCTTTTTTCTATATTTTATCTGTATTGCAATATATATATATATATACTTATTTATCTGTATTGCAATATATATATATATATTCCCATTTCCCACGTCTTCTCGTGTTTGTAAATTTCGAATCCGTTCGCTTTTACATTGAACACCGTCAACTTTTCTTAATTGAAAATCTCATGTTAGTACATAAACTTTTTTTTTAAAATTAAACAAATAAACACATTTTAAAATTTTCAAAAAATACCTTATTTTTTATTAACTTCTAACGTTAAAATCTGAATTTTTAAAAAATTTATCAAAAAACACCATATCATGGTGGTATTTGAGAGTTGTTTTAAAGTTTAAGATTTAATTTTATGACAGTTTTTGGAAATAATTTAAAATTTTATGATTTATTTTAATTAATTTTAAAAATTTTAAGATTTAAAATTTAAAAGTATGTATTTATCTGAGAATTTTTTTTATGAATTCGTATATTAATACGAGATTTCCCAATTTTTAATATAATCGTTCTATTTACATTCTCCTTTTACCGCTCATATCGCTCCTAACAAAACTATTATACGTCTACAGCTTTTATTGCTCCGACCAGGCAACCACTTTGTTACAAACGTTGTCTGATTATAAAAAAAAAACCGATTAGGTGGCAATAAAAGACATTATCATAATAAAAACTATATATATATATATATGTATGATTTATTACATTGAATTTTACAAATGTGTTGTTTTTATACACGTTGTTATGTTCAACTGACTTGTGCCGTTAGACTCAAACGTCATGGTTAACGGCAGAGGTAAAAAAAAAAGAAAAAAGAAGCGTACGTTAAAGGCGCTGAGGAAGCACCGTTAGTTAGCGCCGTCATCTAAGCCGCGTTAATGCGGGCTCCACATTATTCCAATAATTATTTAATAATAATAATAATAATAATAATAATAATAATAATAACAACTAGTTTTGGGGTTACACATAATTCAAATGTGCACATGGGCTAAATTTTAGGTTTGAATTTGGGTGTGTAATGGCAAGATGAAGTGTTGACAATGTTGCTAAAACAGCAGAATAAAAATTACAAAGTAATTCAAATGTTACTAATCACTTGCGTTGTAAATAAGATTTAAAACGATAACTTTTTCCTCGGAAAATTAATAATGCTACAGCCTAATGGTAAAAGTGGTTAAAAAAAGATGTATTGAAAGAATAGACTAACATGACGTGTATTATATTTTTCTAATATCACATATTAACCTTAATGTTACACAGAAATAAACAAAAAGAATGTGATGAATAGTGGTCACATATTATTCTAATCTTTGAAGAGATGCCGAAAATCAAATCGACAGCGCTACCACCGCCGCGATTTTGGATGCAAAGCTCATCATTTGACGGAAGTCATGTCCATTAAACTAAAGGTTTATACCTAATCTTCATTCCTTAGTCTCTCTCTCTCTCTCTCTAATATCTCTCTCTCTCTCTCTCTGTAGGGCCGGTGGGGCTTCTTCCATCTGCGCTTCTTCTCCTCTGTAACGTGATAGCCCAATCTCACAGCCTGGAAAGAGTTGGAGAAGAGGTTGCAAAAAGGAAAAAGGAGCACTGGAAAAGACACCGCCTTTTTTTTTCTTCTGGGGTTTTTGATTAGCGTTTGTCCAAATTCAAAACATTCTTGGATTGGGTTACGCCGTGTGAATCCAACCCAAGTTTCCATTTCTTCTCACTCGGCTTTCTGCAGCTGAAAAATCACCTCTTTTCCCAGTTTCAGTTCTTTTGATTTGTAGTACGAGCATCTGAAACAACGCTTCTTTCTCCAGTTCTTGAACCTACTGCACTTGGTTTTTGGCTTTGATTCAGCCATTTCTGGATCTGGGTTCTCTCCATTTCGCGATTTGGGTATTAGGGTTTTTTCTGGGAATCCCGAGGGTCAAGGTCGTGTCTCACAGATGGTATTGTCGGGAAAACTAGTCAACTCTGTGCTTCTACTTCTTTTGTTCCTATGTTATTACACCTCGTCCGCATTGTTCGTTCCTCCTGATAATTACCTGATTGCGTGTGGTTCTTCACAAAATGTCACCTTCCAAGGTCGAACCTTTGTTTCAGATTCCGAGCATTCATCCCTTGCATTGAAAACCGGCAATTCCTCTGTTGCTAGGTCGAATTCGACCAATGTTCCTTCCTCGATCTATCGATCTGCTCGTGTTTTCTCGGGGTTAGCTTCTTACAAGTTCAAGATCAACGAGGAGGGTCGACATTGGATCCGCCTCTACTTCTACCCTGTAAGAAACTCGAGCTGGAACTTGTCTTCTGTTCCAATAACAGTAGTGACCGATGAGTTCGTGCTCTTGAACAACTTCTCTTTCAAGGGCTACAATGGTTCTTACTTGTTCAAGGAGTACGCAGTCAATGTCACTTCTGACGTCTTGACCCTCACTCTCATCCCTTCTAACAACTCAGTTGTGTTTGTCAACGCGATCGAGGTTGTCTCTATCCCGGATACTCTTATCCCCGACCAGGCCTTGGCTTTGAACCCCTCTGCTCCTTTCAGCGGTCTTTCTCAGCTTGCTTTCGAGACAGTTTACCGTTTGAACACGGGAGGACCGTTCTTGACCGGTCAGAACGACACTCTCGCAAGAACTTGGGAGAACGATTCGAAGTACCTTCATGTGAACAGCTCTGTCTTGGTAGTGACGGTGAATCCTTCTTCTATAAAGTACACATCTTCTGTAACTGCGGAAACTGCTCCGAACATGGTTTACGCTACAGCTGACACGATGGGTGATCCAAGCGTTCCGAATGCGAATTTCAACGTGACTTGGGTTCTTCCAGTGGATCCTAACTTCAGGTACTTCGTCCGTGTTCATTTCTGTGATATTGTAAGCCAATCCCTGAACACGCTTGTGTTCAATCTATACGTAAACGATGATCTTGCCCTTGGAAGTGTTGATCTCTCTACGTTGACCAATGGTCTCAAAGTGCCTTATTACAAGGACTTCATCTCGAATGTTTCCGGAGATTCTGGTATCCTGACCGTCAGTGTTGGGCCAGATTCTCAAGCAGACATCACGAATGCGACTATGAATGGGTTAGAGGTTTTGAAGATTAGTAACGACGCTAAAAGTCTAAGTGGTGATTCTTCAGTAAAGTCTCTTGTTCCAGGATCAGGTTCGGACAAGAACAAGAAAGCTATAATCTTTGGTTCTGTTGTGGGCGCCATAGCTGCAGTTTTGTGTATTGGGTTGTGTTACTATTGCTGTTTGGCTGCTCGGAAATCATCTAAGACTCCTCAGGAAGGCCATCCATGGCTGCCATTGCCTTTATATGGTCTCTCTCAGACCCTAACGAAATCCACGGCCTCCCATAAAAGTGCAACGGCCAGCTGTATCTCCTTGGCTTCTTCACACCTCGGCCGTTGTTTCATGTTCCAAGAGATTCTCGATGCTACGAACAAGTTTGACGAGAGCTCGTTGCTCGGTGTTGGTGGGTTTGGTCGGGTTTACAAGGGAACACTCGATGATGGAACCAAGGTGGCTGTTAAAAGAGGAAACCCGAGATCTGAACAAGGTCTTGCTGAGTTCAGAACAGAGATCGAGATGCTTTCCAAGCTTAGGCACCGCCACCTCGTCTCTCTCATTGGCTACTGTGATGAACGATCTGAAATGATTCTTGTGTATGAATACATGGCTAATGGACCATTACGGAGTCATCTGTATGGAACTGACCTTCCACCATTGTCTTGGAAGCAAAGGCTCGAGATCTGCATTGGCGCTGCAAGAGGGTTACATTATCTCCACACGGGTGCAGCCCAGAGCATCATCCACCGAGATGTGAAAACCACGAATATCCTCCTGGACGAGAATTTCGTGGCTAAAGTTGCCGACTTTGGTCTATCGAAAACCGGCCCGTCCCTTGATCAGACACATGTGAGCACGGCTGTTAAAGGAAGCTTCGGTTACCTCGATCCAGAGTACTTCAGAAGGCAGCAACTGACAGAGAAATCAGATGTTTACTCGTTCGGAGTGGTTCTAATGGAAGTCCTCTGCTGTAGACCGGCTCTGAACCCAGTTCTCCCGAGGGAACAAGTGAACATCGCCGAATGGGCAATGACATGGCAGAAGAAGGGAATGCTCGAACAGATCATGGACTCGAACTTGGTGGGGAAAGTAAACCAGGGGTCTCTCAAGAAATTCGGAGAGACAGCCGAGAAATGCCTGTCTGAGCATGGAGTTGACAGGCCATCAATGGGAGATGTCCTGTGGAATCTGGAATACGCCCTTCAGTTAGAAGAAACTTCTTCTGCTCTAATGGAGCCTGAGGATAACAGCACAAACCATATCCCAGGGATTCCACTGACGCCTCTTGAACCATTTGATAACAGCATGAGCATTATTAATGGAGGGCATTCTGGTACTGAAGAGGATGATGACGGAGAAGACGCAGCCACAAGTGCAGTGTTTTCTCAGCTCGTCAATCCTCGTGGAAGGTGAGGGACGTTGTCCGAATCCGACATGAATGTTCTGTGTTCTGTCGCCATATATACATACATATGGAACTTTTCCATTCTTCTGTCTTGTACTCCTCGAGAGTGAGATCCAGGCAAAAGTTCTTCAGGGAAGAGTGGATGATGATCAAGATCCATTCATCATTCATTACAGTGTATTTTTTTTCGATTTACAGTAATATTGATTTGTAATATACTGGTTATATGTAACCTTTCAAATTCTAAATCTGTTTCTTTTTTATTTTTCTTAATAAATCTGTTTCTTTTCATAAATGAGAGAATGTTATTTGCCATATTTATGTGTGTGTATATATATATATATATATTACATGATACACAGAGTAATTTTGCAAGTGCTTAACTGTATAGACGTATATACTCATAAGACGACAGTCATACTGCGAACACCGAATGTGAATGGTCCAACAGAATTAACCAGGAAGCCACCTTTTGTTTGGTTTTTCTTTCCTCTCTCTCGTAGTTGAAGAAACAAAAGAGAGAGAAAGAGAGAGAGAAGCAAAAGACCGTTTTGACCTCGTCATCTCTTCCAATCTTCTTCTTCTCCTCCTTCAGGTCTCTCGTCGGATTCTCTGATCTCTCCGCCATGAACGAGAAAGCCAGCGTCTCTAAGGAGCTTAATGCCAAGCATAGAAAGGTGCTCCCTTTTCTCCTCTCTATCTCTCCTTTGTTCCTTTTACTTCTTCTCCGATTCGCCCGTTTTGTTGATTGCGAAGGAAATCGTTTGAACGCCTAGAAAATTTCGATCATCTCTCTCGCTCTCTCTGATTTGGTCTGATTGCAATTCGCTTGGATCTAGGCTTTCGAGGCATTTATGCTGTTAATTTCATCAATTTTTAGGTGTTAGGGAGAGGTTCAGGCGTCTATGGATCCTAGATATTCGTATTGCGATTGGATTGAGTTATTCTTCGCCAACGTTAAAATCAGTTGAGCCGTTTCGATTTGTCTTTTGGAACGATCACCGATCGCGATCTGGTGCATAGATTGGTCTGCGTTTTTTTAAGGATTTTTTCAATCGAGCTGCGACTTACTGAAGTATTTGTCTCATAATTTGTTATTAACGATCCGTGTTTCTGGTGGAATGTTTGGTTTTAACTGAGTCCCGTGGAGACCTTAACCTTCTCACCACCAAGGGGATATGAACTTTGCTCAGTCCTAGTCTTTGATAATTCATTTCGACCCTTTGAATTGGGGGATGAGGTGAATAAAGTAAAAGAGTTTTGTCCTTAAATAGTCTGTAGGATGCTTTTATTTTGGTCCTTCAGGGTTGAACTTTTACTTGGTAGCCTTTGAGTTGTCTGTGATATTGATACCAATGATCCTTGTAGTCGTTAGAATAGTTTTGCGGGCTGGTAATACATGAAGTGTGTCTGGTGCTTTTGCTCCAATTGAGGTGTTAACAGATGAAAATTTGCCCTTTTGGTAAAATCTGCTACAAGATCTCCCATGTTTGTTATGATAAATTTGGTTCATTTTGGTTTGTAGAACATGGGAAATGCTGTCTGTTTGAAGTTAACTATGTTTACGCTGATGTAGGCTGTAATTTTTGGGTTGCAGTTTTATTTACGTTTTTTTGTTGATTTGTTCTTTGGCTTGAATTTCTCATGGTTTCATTGTTTTTTCAGATTCTAGAGGGGCTTCTTAAACATCCGGAGAACAGAGAATGTGCTGACTGCAAAGCAAAGTATGTAAGGATGTTGCAAGTATTAGCTATCAGCGGTGCTGGTTCATAGATATGTGTGGACTAAAACAGTTGTATTTTCTATGCAGAGGTCCTAGATGGGCTAGTGTGAATTTGGGAATCTTTATCTGCATGCAATGTTCTGGAATTCACAGGAGTCTTGGGGTACACATATCGAAGGTAATCTCTTGTTTCACCCCTACCAACGCTTCAATAGTTGTCAGGTTTCCCTATGGTTAATGCATGTTCCAACCAGGTCAGGTATTGGGCTACTGGCAATTTGGTTTTTCTTTTCCTGTCTTTCTCGTATGCAGTCTCCTCTTGTAGTTCCCATCTTAAGAGTTTCTTCCTTAGCTGATGAGTTTGACATGGAAATGTAAAAGTTGTTCCCTGCTGTTCCTTCCCATCCCAGCAAGGAAGGTTTTGATCCAGTTTATGCACTGCATATTTTTGTGTTTCTAAAATTGCACAGTTCAATTCTGTGTGTCTCCTCATGCGCTTTGCTCCTAATTGTTTAGCCGGCATGTGCCTTCATGTTGGAGAAGATGTTCAACACATCAATTGGTTGTTATTTAAAAACATTTGATTTTAGGGGTTATAAACGCAGGTTCGATCTGCCACTCTGGACACATGGCTCCCAGAGCAGGTTGCTTTTATTCAGTGTGAGTTTCCATTTACAATTTTCCCTATGGATAGTGCAACCAGTATGAGATTAAGATTTGCCGCATAAGGTATGTCAATAATTTTTTTTGGGGTAATTTCATGCAGCTATGGGGAATGAGAGAGCAAATAGTTACTGGGAAGCTGAGCTACCTCCAAACTATGACAGGGTTGGAATTGAAAATTTCATAAGAGCAAAGTACGCTTTCATTAAACTAATATCTCAGTTAGTTGGATGTTATCCATCATTTACATTACTATATTTGTGGGCCTGGATTTCATTTTGGGACATATGGCTTTTCTAGGTATGAGGAGAAGAGATGGATTCCTAAAGGCGAAAATGCTCGGTCACCCCCAAGAGTTGGACAGGAAGAAAAGTCTTATTCTAATTATCAGACGCCTGCAGAAAGAACTGGACCTGGGTACAGACATGGACACAGTAGCAGTTCTGAGAATTTATTTGAAAAAAAGACTGTCCAAGCACCTAGAAATAGTACGTCTGGTACGAGGATAAATCTTCCTGTCCCTCCTCAAGGACCTGACCAGGTACCCATGAAATTTCTACAAGATTGGTATTGCTTCAGATTCTACTGTTTTGATCTGAGTAATGAAGCCCTCACCTCGTTTTTATCAAGAATCCTCATACAATGTCAATGAGCTTATCTAATTACCTACGATATCAGAATTGTCATTGTTTCTTTAACACAATGGTTTTGATTAATGCATCTCTTGTAGCTTGCTATCTGATCTCATGTTGTTACATCTGAAACTTATTTTGTTTTGGTGACCTTATATAATCTTTTTAATTTTAAATTCTCAAAATAGTCAGAAAATAACTTCTAAAAGCTTTCCAAAGCATGATTTCTTATGCATGAAGTGCATAAAATGAACAGGTTACAGTGGTTTCAAAGCCACAACAGGTTATTCGGAAAACAGCGCCAGCAGCTGCTCCTGTGGAGGCTATGAAACAAGCTGCAAATGCTGCTCCAGCAACAGATCCTCCAAAAGTCGATTATGCAACTGACCTCTTCAACATGCTGTCAATGGATGATCCCATTGAAAATAGCTCGGAGGCAACTTCTGCTGAAGATAATGCCTGGGCTGGCTTCCAATGTATGTGTCTACCATCCTGCCAGAATTTTCATACCCTTATCTTTTATGCTATATTTCAATTTAATCTTAAAAGTTTCTTTTGGGTAAAATACTTAAAATCGCAAACTTCTACTGTGTAATAACTTCAGTCCTCTAAAATTTGTAGCGGCTGGACATGTTCAAACGACAGAGAAAACTGGGACAGCAAAGCCTGCTGAGACCAGTTCTCCTCCAGTGAATGGAACTGAGGATTTATTTAAAGACTTGCCTGCTCTAGCAACACCACAGCAGTCACAGAAAGATGTCAAAGGCGATATCATGAGCCTGTTTGAGAAGGTGCGTTCTAACTTGATCTTACTCTTTTTGCTGTATCCCCTTCCTAATAATTTATCACTGACCAGATTTTCCTTCTTCCGATTCTTTGTTCCTTCGATTCACGAGATTCTGGTAGATGGGAAACTAAATCTATAGATGCAAAACATATAGTTAAAGTACTGAGTGCTTGTTTGTTATATGAATTGAAGCCAGCTTACAGGCTTAGTGACCCAGAAGAAACTAACTAGTATGAACTTGAATGTTTACCTGGTTATTGCCTCAAGTGAATACTTAAAATTCTGTGGGTTATATCCATTACAGTCAAATATGGTGTCTCCTTTTGCCATGCACCAGCAGCAAATAGCCATGCTTGCTCATCAGCAATCCCTTCTCATGGCCGCGGCATCTAAATCTGCGGGCACGGATCCAAAGGTTTCAAACACTAATCCACAAGCTATGCCTAATGTTCTTAACTTGCCGACTACAAGTTGGCCAAACATCGGCTACCAAATCCCGGGCATGATGATGCCACCAGCGGGCGGTCCGGCTGAGCTACAGAAACTTATGCAGGTACTGCTCCCGTTTTACTTAAAAATTTATATATAACACATTTGCGAATGGCCAAGTGTATTTTTCATATCACACTTTAATTTTTGTTTTCTGTTGTTTATGTGCATTAGAACATGGTCATGAACGCGAACATGAATATGAGACCAACAATGCAACAGCCAGGGAACACACAGCAATACCCGATGCCCGGGTATGTATGTTTATAATGTCTTTTCTTTGTCGCCCCCAATTTGATGAAAGTTTTAACAGCCTTCGTAATTTCATGTGGATGCTTGCCTTAAGTTATCAAGTTTTAGCGTGAAAATTTCCAAATCTGATGGGCTTCGTACCATTTTGGATAGGGATGGGCATTTGTATTTTTTATTCGCGTTCGGTTTGGTTATGTTTGGGTTTGGTTCTTTTGGTTTTAGAAAACCTATATTCATTCGGGTTTGATGTTCGCGTCAGTTCGGTTCAATTTCATATTTTAATGATAAAAATGGTCAGTTTACAAAGAATTTTTGGTTTTTTTTTTGTTTTTGTTATGTTCGGCTCGGGTTTGGTTTTAAAAAGATTATAACCATTCAGTTTTTATATCACGTTTGGTTCGGTTTATGCATAATTTTGGGAATAAGATTGGCATTGGTTTTCTTCGTTTTCCTGCAGTTTCTATGCGATGGGTAATGTTAACCCGCGAAATGGTGCAACGCCAGCCGCAACGAGTAACCCTCAGTCATCGACATCGACGTCGGTTTCAACAACCCCAACCACTTCTTCTCAGTCAAGCAAAGAGTACGATTTCTCCTCTCTGATGGAAGGAATGTTCGCGAAACATTGACGACAGGCAATGTTGCTTCTGGTTTGGTATGGCGTGTTCACTGTTGTTCAGGAGGGACATAAAATTCAGAAACACCAGAGAAAGAAAGAAAGACATCATATGCTTCTTCTGCATTTGTCCTCTTTCCTGTCTTATATTTGAAAAATGTATACCTTTCGTTTTAGACAGGTTTCTGGCTCTGCATATCTTTTGATTTTTTAGATTTTATTCTGATAAATAAAAAAAAATCACTCAGATTTGATTTTGATTTTTTTTTCTCCTACACATTCATTTTTTTTTAAAAATTTTCATATTTCTTTAGTTATATTTTAAGGAGTGAGCATTTCGGATTTCTGATTGAATTTGGTTTGATTATATTAGAACTGCCGTTTACGGCTACGGTCCACGGATGTCAAAATGCAGTTGTACCATAGTTGTTCCTTAGTCTGTTGAGATTTTGTATTCTATAATTTTCTTGGAACGTGTACAATCCTTTTCAAGGTTACCAATCATGATCAGATCACAATTCACAAGAGCCCCTTTTAATATTTGACCTGGCATCCTGTGATATATAACCATAGCCCTCTAGATCAACAAAATGTCGGCACCTTGCACCTAAACCGGCAAGCATGAGGAGGATCTACACGCTCATGAATATATGGCAGCAGACGAGGATTCTTTTTCTGAGTATAAGTTTGCAGCTTACTCTTGCATAGATTGTTCGCGTCTTTCATTTTGTTAGTAGAGATGAGAGGGAGGGACCTAACAACTGGATCAAGTTCTCTTCTTTGTTCTTACAAAATATGTCGACTTGAAGTACGATTTGTTGACTCTGTAGTTAGGTAGGAAACGACCTTGGTTGTGTTATCTTCTTTAACAAATGAGGAAGAAGCAAGAATTCTACCGTTATCTTTTCAATTCTCTATTGTCCGGCGATGGTATTTTTCAATTCATGGGATGCATGTAGGAGTACCCAGGTCACCTTTAGTTTTGTTATCATCCTTTACGACAGGAATTGAAACAATGAACTCAGGAACTTGATCAACGTCTTGTTGGAACCTCTGCTGGTGGTGATACTCTTTGTCGGGACACTTATCGCTTGTGAAATGCCTTTGGTTCTGCTATGTTCCTCAACAACAGGAACTGACACACTGATCTCAGGAACTTCACCACCTTCGCTTCCTTCTTCCTAAACCAAGGATGTAGTCGACAAAGCTGCGGCGGGAAGTGGAGATAGATCGATTGCTGGCACGGAAAGAGGAAGACGTAGATCTGATGGCGGATAGTAAACAGAGCGCCGAACGCAAGGAAAAAGAGAGCTCTTGAATCGGAAAAACAAAATCAAAGCTGGAAAAAAATCTCCTTCTCGTTTCTCTTCTTTTGGTTTTTATGCTTAAACTAGAAGAGTTACAATTTTGTCTTTTCCCGTCAACCGACTTACCGAACTCGGTTCGCAAAAGACCAAACTGCTCTCAAACCTTCGGTCTCATTCATAGACTTACTCGTCTTTGTGAAAGCCACACAAAATTAATAATCTGGTGTCATTTGATGTCGCTAGTTATGAGTCATGACGGATCTATCGAGAATAACGTTTGGTATGATGCGGCCACTGTTCAGACGGTGGAGGTGATATGAATCTTAGATCGAAAGTTCTCTATTAGGCGAGGCTGTTGAGAGAGGCGTCTCCGGAACAAGAAGAGCTGAACCGGAGGAGGGTGGAAGCGTGTTCATCAACATACATATATGTACAAGGAAACGGTAAATAGAGGGTCTCCTTTATAATTTTGGATAAATATTACACTGAATCTATCTACATGTATTGAACCAGTGATGGCTTTTTGCACCAAGAATTGTTTTTCACTTGCCATTCATTATTCATACCACCACAAAATCACCCCGTTGATTACTCTTCTTCCCGGATACAGGGTACGAGTCTGTGTGCGTGTACATACACACAGAGTTACATAACCATGGTAGCCGGAGGAAAAAGCCTATCCAAGAAAGTATATAAACCTCCTCCAAGCAACAGAGCGCCACTGTTCGGCCAAAACGGTAAAGAGGATGCTTTATTTTCAGACAGGGAGGAATCATAGTTTAAGCTAAGAGTAGTATCTCGAGTACCTTATCGGGTTGATCCAGGCGGAGATCTTCCGCAGCGAAAGCAAGCTCTGCCAGTATTTTTTTTTTAAAAAAAGGTAAAACAAACACCATGGAAATACTTAGTTCCATCTTTCTTCCCCTTTATATAAAGATGCAAACTTTGCATTTTGCTGCAAGCGGATAAAAGCGGTAGTACCTGCAATGCTCCGGCAAAAGAAGCAGCGAGGATGAGCGGGGCAACATAACCAGTTGTGTACGTCAAGAGTAAGCTTCCACCGACAACCGGATCCTGTTTTTTTTTGGATGAGCTTATTATAAGAGAGTACAAAAACTAACCATTAACATTCAAGTGTATGATGAAATTAGATTTACCCTGGATGTAGCCACATAGCCGAGAAGGGTCGCTAACACAGGGGTGCTGCAAGGCGAGGCAGCTAGTGCAAATGTGAGGCCAGCAAGGTATGCTTGTACACCTGAAAAAAACAGTTACATATTCTCAATCTTAGAGAACGAAAAATCACGACGTAATATACAGTGTCTTATAGATATAAGGGAAAATGGCGTATAATATCACATATTTAGCAAAACAAAATTGCAGTAAAAACATGAATTTTTAAAATTTTTGTATCAAAACATGTAGTTATCCATAACATCCAGATGAGACACGAAGTTATCCCTATTTCCTAAAATTTTACATGAGGTAATATAGTAAAATTTGAAAAGTTGAGATTTCATCTAGAAAATGGGGATAGCTTCATGTTTTGATCTGAAAATTTAAAAGCTCATGTTTGTCATGGTATTTTCGTACTAAGTCCGTGTTTTTGTATACAATTTTCCTTAGATCTAAAGGCGAGGATTACTAGAAGGGAAATTTGCAGCCGCAGCACGAGGATCAAAGTTGTTAAGGAAGGATGGAAGCTGCAGCTCAATAATCTGTAGGAAAGATACCGAAAAAAAAATTATGCAGGAATCAGTAATGCCAATGAAGCTCGCAAGAGGGAAGCGAGGTACCTCGAGGAGATTTAAACCCATTATAATAGCTAGACAAGATGCAGCCAGAGGCAGTCCTTGTCCTATCTGTCCATACGCTTTCCCAGCAAAGGATGCTACTATCCCTAGAAGTGCTAAGGTAGTTGCCAATCCCAGCGAGAAAGCAATTGCATCCCCGATAACCTGAACTCATGAAGGTCAAATTTCCATCAACTTCATTTTCGTGTTTGGTTCGAGGAAATTATAGATAGAACTTATCCGAAATTTTTGCATTAATTATACTACTTGCATGAATATGATACAACAAATGGCAGCAACGAGTTATTGTAGGAATTTTGTTTTCGGGAAAAAGCCACTAACCTCGGCTCTGCTTTTGCCAGACCCAAATGCACCTATAAGTTTCAGTAAAATTCCTAATCGATGAGAAGTTATGAATCAAGATAAGTGAAGGAAATGAAGTATCTCGAGAAAAATGGTCATACCGATGTAACCAAGCGTCAAAGGCAGAACACTCAGTGTACATGGAGAAAGGCTTGTCACAAGGCCTGCCCCGAAAATCACTGCCAAACTACAAACAAAGGATAACTTAAAAAGAGAACCAAAGAAATTCATGTCAAATTCCCCTGATTCGGTGAGAGAGAACTAAAGAGGCAAACCTAGTTACGCTCAGCGCTGATAACTGGTCAAGAACAGCTTCATTAGCTTGCTGGCCAGCTGAATAAAGGAAGCCCCCTAAAGAATCTCCAACATTTTCTTCAGCCAAGCTGTAAACTGAAGTGGCTTGTTCCTGTCTTGGAAGAGATTTGGTTTTTTGATATTATATATTGGCAAAACCTTCTGTAGAAGATAGATGTTCAGATCTAATCCCCAGAAATGCAGGCTGGAGTTTAGCCTTTGAAGTAAAGCCAAGGCTAAGAGAAAGAGAATGATTAAAGGTAACTATGAAGACATTTTAGACTACAAGGATGACAAATACGAGGAGCTTTTATCAATGGCAATGATCTAAAAGATGATAAGGTATGATCACTCCTTACCAATACAATCTTCAAGTCTAAGGCCTTTGCCGAGTTGATTGCAGCTATGTTTGCCCCTGGAAAACCGACCATGGTTAGAAGAATTTATTATCATACATTAACAAAAGTTTCGGAATCACATGAATCAACGGGGACAAATGGGAAAGAAATGTGATGCAAACAACAACAACAACGCATTAATCCCAAGTTTATTGGGGGTCGGCCGCATAAATTCACTTCCTCCATTCATTTCGACCTTGAGTTAAAATCCTCCAAAATTTATACACACGGTAAATCATAACTGAACACTCGTTCCCAAAATGAGTCTAAATTATCACTGCTATGTTTTAAACAAGCCCACAAGTGATTAAATTTCAGGCATCCGCTTAAATCGTTTTGTTGGCCATGACCATTAATGATCAGGACCATGGAATAGGTAACAGCAGTTAAATTTCCAACTTGAACTTACAATAGACAGTGGAAAGAACATGTTTTACACTCATAACAACTAAGTTTCCATAGAATGAAGAAAACCAACGCGGAGAAGACGTAAGAAAACAATATACCTCCGAAAGCACCGCCAAATATTGCAAGTTTGAGCCTTTTGATCCATTTCTCCTGCAAAGCGGCTTCACCGTAGCAACCCAACCTTTCTAGTCTCTCAAGTGCATCATGCTTGGTAACATTAACCATGTCTTCAATCACGCAGTACGAGATAAAAAAAAATAATAATAATTCAGCGTTATGCTAACGCGGAATCGAAACTAGAACATCGTCAAAATCAGCCAAAAAAAAAACCCAAATCAATAGATGTTCCAGAAAAGGAGGAGCAAGCTCACCGCCGCCATGGCTGAGCTTGTTTTTCCGCCTGTATGTCGAAATTCCATTGAAATGGGCGAAGACGCAGCTGCTGCAACGGTTCAACACCAAATTCATCTGCAGAAATTGACGGAATTCGGGCCGACCTTGCTGGTTTGCGACGCTCCGAAGTAAGAACCGCTCAATTATGTGACTGGGAGAGTGTCCAACGGTTCTCTTCTCGCTCTCCAGATATTTTCTCTCTTTTGTTTTTTTATTATAAAAAAAAAACAGAAAATCATGTAAAAGATAATAACGGCGAATAATGGCCTGAACAAATTGGGCCTAAAGGCCTATAATATCTTATATGCTTTGACTGCTCATTTAACAATAATGGGCTGAACAATTTGGGTCCAAAGGCCCATAATATCTTTTTTTTTTTGTTACCGATAGTTTGAAAACGGGAAAAAGTATCGAAGCTTTAAATAGAAATACGTATTATTGACAATAAAATTCGAACTGAACCAAATCTAATGTAAACATTGATAGATCATATAGTTTTTGAAAATTAAAAAGAAAAAGAAAACCAAAATGGCACACCCCTATTTCTAAGAAGAACAATCCAACTCAAATGGAGTCCAAGAATTAAATACAAAAATGAGGGAGGCATATCATCATATGCGACTGACACGTTTCTCTATTGGTGAGAACATGAAAGGTACATATTCATCAACACTGATCCCAGGGGAGAATAGCTCAGCAAAGGGTTTTGGTTGATATCAAATGTAAAACATTTCAAAGGGTTGCTGAATTATTATTATATCTCAAATCATTGTAACCAGATCCCTATCCAGGAAAACGAGCAATGGCTAAGTAAAGGTATTATATCCATGGAGGATCATGTCGCCGGGGACTTCTGCCTTTTCTTTGCTCAGAGGATCATCAGTTGCTGAATCTTCTTTTGGACACAGAGAACAGTATGGTTTGTTCACTTTTCATATACAAGCCAATAGAGATGTGTACCAACAACAGGAAGTGAAAGTTAATGATTCCATTACCAAATCCCACAACTCGTAGAGATTACAGAACCTGTCAAGCTGCGTGCTCTCTCAAGTCTTGCTTCTAATTGTGAAGCAAGTACACCCTCGAAATTGAGGCCTGTAAAAGAGAAAGCATGTAAGAGAAGGACAGTATGCATTATGACATTCACTCACAATCATGCCAAAGAAACAGCATGTAAGAGAAGAGGAGTCAGAAGATGAATTTAACTAGCAAGCTTTGAACAGAAAACAGAGGGGTCCTCCACATCTATGATTCTTTTCCCCTCATATGTCCTCAAAAGAAAGAATGGTTCTAGAGGTAGTAAGGTTTGTAAAACTAAGAAGAAACAAAGCTAATTCATCATCAAGTCGGATTTCACCATCAGTTCACTTACGTCGTTCCTACAAAAGTCGGTTAAACCAAGTGAAGTGTCAGGAAATGGATTCTTGACTTGCTTTAAAATCTAACTCTTTTGTTCTTTTCTGATTCTCAAACCTTCAACTTTCAGTTCACGGCCCGAAAAAAATACCATTAGGGTAACAGATACAAACATAGATTGTAAATGTCAGAATGCAGGTCCAGTTGCAGCAGTCAGATCAGTTATCCAGCTCCTTGTCAAACTTTGCTCTTACATTTATTCTCTGACAACTATAAACCCTTATGGAAATCAACAAAAGCAAAATCACATAATTAGAAAGCAACATAACAGAAAAGCATCATGAAAGGAAATATTCTCTCTATGATAAAAGGAATGTAATATCTTTCCATCTATGCTCAAGAAAAAAGATAAGAACAGTGACCTAAAATACTATAATTCAGGTTCACAATGGTCTGAATAGTGAAGATATGTTTCAGTCCTAAGATTTTGGACAGAGGAAATAGTCTTATCTAGCTTTCCATAAAAGTATGCATTTCATCCTATTACCATCTTAGAGATGGATAAGAACCAACTGTCTGTCTAATGAGATCCTCTGCTAATAAGGTGGATTTTGCTAATAAAGAAGATTCCAAGTAAGACAAAATTTGGCCGCAACACATCATAACCCAAGTGCTGTGTAATGAGTACCATCAGTTCATTAACTTGATGGAAAGAACAACTCATGAACCCCATCAGCAGTTTTCTCCAAGATCCTTCAATCTATCACGTTTTAGTTTGGAAATTGATATAATTCCCTCACTATATTCATTCTACATTGTGTATAATCATAACACTAATCACCACAGCCCAACGTTTTCGAAATTCTGATTAATAACTCATAGGATTCCTCTACCAAACTAACAGCTAATTGAACCTCACTGTCCAGTTAATGTCATTTCACGTGAATTTCAAAGCTTACACCATAAGGTTGTGGTTCTTGAGACCACAACAATCATGCCACTCACTTACACAATCTCTTGCAACTATGTTCTCAATTCCATAGTTCAGAACACCTGTAAACAGTACGGTATGCAAGACACTGCATATATTATAAGGCACTTGTAAGATCACGACCTAGATGCAACTAAAACTAGATCATCAGTCCTAAATGAAACAAACATCACTTCAGCTATGTTTTCACCCACTCTACTGAGATATCCGATATCGGTTCCCACATTGTCAGATTATAGAGTATAAAAACTAAGACCATAATAAAAATGTTTCAAACTCGATAAGGAAACATTCAGAATGTCTACGAAAGCAAACGCCATATGCAGTTTGAAACGTTATCGTTTTGAAATATGACGAGATAAAGCCAATCCTGTTTACAAACATATGGACAATGAGTTGTCTGTAAGATAGATGCACTTAACGGTGAGCAATATGAAGCCACAGAGACTTTTTGAAAGACGCACAGCCATGGACACTGCTTTTGAACTATTGTCGTCGAGCTTCGAATCTGGAGAAAAAACATAGAGAAGTTTCAAACATAGTAAGATTCTAATATCTGCTTGCATAAAAACCCGTACAGCCAAATTGCATGTCAACCACAAAGTCAAAAGTAAATTATATTGCATTCTAAGGTATAAAAGATTCTTGTCATCACTGATGCAACTGACAGAGCATCCAAATAAACCATCTCTATAATTTCACGACGAGGGAGAAAAAACATGATTAGATTCAATTGGTTTAGCAATATCACCAGAAAAAGACATCTCATATAGATAAAGATAGATTCCAACCATGAGCTCAAGAGAAGCCCAAAAAAAAGATTGTCATTTGTAAGACAAATATTAGAGCCTATATCGAATGACATAAAAGCTAACAATAACAACACCACACCTTAATTCCAAGTTTATTTGGGATTGGCTGAATGAATTCTTTTTCTCTATTCATTTCCGATTTTAGGGTTAAGTCCTCCGAAATCATTACTAATCACTTGTTACTAGATGAGCTGAGGTCTACCTCTATCTCTCTTTCGATTTCCTATTCTTATATTCTCTACTTTTCTAACCTGATTGTCTATCGGCCTACGTTTTACATGGCTAAACCACCTTATACGTCCTTCTCGTAATTTCTAATGGCGATATGGTAGAATTTTCCTTTCAACTGAATGAAAAGCTTACAATCGCAAAGAAGCCCCCGTGGTGCAGTAGAATTTCTCTTTCCAATATCGCAATGCATCTACTCAGTTTTGGTTGTACTGTTTCAAAAACCCTTAGCTTCTAATGTATTCCATCACAACTCTAACTATCTTTTGATTCCTCTAAACTCATTTTTTAATACTATATCGTATGCAAACACCATGCACCATAACCCTTTTTTTTGCATATGCCAAGTCAACTTATCTATAACTAAGGTGAAGAGAAACAAAAATGCAAATAAATCTAATTTCATTTTTCCATTATAACAAGAGACAAAGCTATATCGTATGCAAATATCTATTATCTATAACATACCTTCTCCCCTGATTTCTAAGCTGATCCATCAATAAATCCGATAATAAACCTTCTGCTTCCTTCAACCATGTGAAGAGTAACTGAAAAATTTACCCTTCGTCAACCTCAGTTTAAGCCGAAGCAAGGAATACAAACAACAAACTATCAAGGACAAATGAAGATAAATCTTAGAAATACTGTAAAAATTAGTTGAGAACACTAACAAACAATGTTGCCTAATGTTACATGTACTAATGAAGGAGCGTTTGATTTAAAGACCACTAGACTTATGACTTGTACCCAAAGATTACAAGACCACAATTACAAATGGAATTATGGTATTTACCTTTGTCACCAGCCTTGCATTGCCCTTGGGAAATGAAATGGCCAAGCCCTTGAAGAGTGTACATCAGCCGGCTGCCCTTTGGTTCCAGACTGAGCATCAGATTCCAATCAACGCCGTCTTTGTCCTTGACTGCAACAGAGGCCAAAGTTCCCAGAGATAGTTTACAGAAATAAGTCTGCAGCAGTTAAATCAATTGTCAGTCAAAGGGCTCGTAACAAAAAAAATTACAATTGACACTAGAAAAATCATTAGAGAAACCAAGATGATAGGAAAAGAAAATATAAGTAAAATACGAGACCATCTAAAAACGACAAATGTGCTTTACCTCTGCAATCCTTTTTGGTATTGTTATGCTTCCATGCTTAGAATTTGCATCTTTAGCACTTAAGCGTTTCTCAAGGACAAGGACTTTTGAGCTTAGGAGAAGTCAAGGAATCAAATATTCAAATAAAGTAATATATATATATATATATATATTAATAAAATAACGTATCAGGTGCATGTTGTGAGGTGTTCATTAAAGCTAGATCAAGGTTACTTCTCATATTTGAAAAAGTTTAACAAGAAAAAGAGAACTTAGAAGGTTTAGGAGAAGAGAAATTTGGGATAACATCAAACGGGCCATAATATTTAGTGGATACTCAGTGCTGGAAGGAATGCTTCTAGCATTTAACCTGTAGCGAGGGTGCAAGGGGACCCATCCAGATGCATCTGGTACAAGCGCATCCCTTTTTCTTCCCGACGTACCAGAAACGTGAGCTCCATCACCCTGTCGAGAAGCTTCAGTCTTAACGGCTGGATCAGCTGGTTCATCATGGGTGGGAGCAGCTGCTTGAGCCGATGAAGAAGCAACTGCAAGACATGGTTGCTACATTAGCATCAGAGAAACACAACTAAATGTGATCCTTTAAGATATGATGAAGGGAGACAGGTTTCTTCATATAAGTACTGTGATTTGGAGATGGTGGATAAATTTCAACGGAGACATAGATCATGTGAATAGCACCACCAACTTCTAAAATTCCTTACTCTTACTTTGACTAGATATAAAGCGGACTATCTTAAGCATATAAATTACCTGCATCCTTTGTCCCTGAGGGGCCAGCATTAGATCTCTGTAGTATCTTAGTGATGGTAGTGTCCGATGGCAACTCCTTCTTTACAGCCTGGAAGGTAAAATACTGTATCACGTGAGCTTCATGTTTTTCAGGGATGAGGGGATCACAACTACAATTATGCTAAGATGATAACCTAAAAATTGGCATATTTATTCTCCAGAAACAGTGAATAGTTGTCAATTCATAAAGAGAGAATAAACGGAGGAAAACAGGACTTTACACAAAATAAAAATGAACACTTTTCGTGGAAGTAATGCTGCAATAAAAGAAACCAGTAAAATGTATGCAGAAAGACATGAAATGGGAAGTTCGTTATTCGGCACTTCTTTCTTACCGCATCAACACAGTCATGGCAAGCTTTACATATCACGCCATCAAGATCTGTTGTGACATATTGGCCAAAAGAAATGGCACAATTACAGTGAATTACCTGGGCAAACAGAACAAAGGATCAAAAAGAATCACCTTGATAATGAACACGAGAATGATTGGAAAGCCATCTAACAGAAACAAATTGGTGTGGCATAGAAGCATAAGAAACAAAATTTTTCCATGCCAAAGGACAGCATTACCCTATCACACCTCTCGCAAAATGTCCAACCAGAATAGTTTGAGTGAAAAATTTCGCAGAAGGTTCCGTCTTCATATGCAGACCTAGAATAAAGACACTAAATTCTTAGTATTTAATTAACAAAATAGACTGGTGAAAATTATTCGTTCAAATAGCAGCTCTATGTTACTGCAAGACCCAACAACACAAGGAAGCAAAGCAAAGAATTAGGTCCAGAAATAAAATCAACATTTCAACCGTCTCAAAGCGAAAGATAAATGGAAAAGATGTAACAACGAGGGAGTACACATTACTTCCACAAAGAACACAGATAATTTACCAATGTAACTAGAGCTAACAGGGTCAGTAAATTAGTTACATAGCATTAGGTCTCACAATCATTTAATAAGCATCAGGACAAGAATGAATACAGCGGTGTTTTGATGAGTAACACAAGTACGGATTTTTTGCATAAACAACAGAAAAACTGTTAAGGCACATTACTATTGATCAATCCAAAAAGCATTTTTTCCCCACAAAGACACAGATTATCAAGTATAACAATTACAACAAACATTTCTGGCAATAAATGACTAGCTGTTAAAGAATGAAATGAGATCTTTTCAAAACATAAATACGACACCGTTTCCAAAATAAAGACCAAGTAAAAGAAATTAGTTCTTTGGTATTAGGTCTTCGAAAAATGGTGATATCGTTAATAAGAATGAAAAGTAGAATAAAGACACCTTAATATATAAAACATAGAACTTTGAAGTCTTGATTTTATGAAGCAATTCTTGCTAAAAGAACACGGAACACATCAGGTATGGAAATTACAGAAAACAATCGTGCCAAGAGACAATTAGTTGTTAACGAATGAAAACGACGCCGTTTCGTTTCAAAACATTAAGAAAAAAAATAACTCACTATAAACGGCTAAAAGGCCAGTCAATTAGTTACTTTTTTAGGTCTTGGATGAAGAGGATATTGCTTCAATAAGTATCATTACTAGAATTAAAGATTATGTTGTCTTGACAGTTAACGCAAACACGATAACACGATTTTTTCACAGAAAACATAGAAAAACTTTACTGTATATCAATCCAAAAAAGCAATTTCCATTGAAGGCATAGAAATCATTAAGTATTCCAACAAAGCAAACATTTCTGTCATTAATTTGTCACTCAACAAATGAAAACGACATTGTTTCAGAACATAAAGACTTGTGAAAGAACGAAAATCGTATCATTTCAAAACATAAAGACATATAAATAAACTCTCGCTGAAACTGGTTAACAGGACAGATAAATTGATTACTTGGTATTTATTATCAGACAAATGGAATATTGGTTCAATACCAACTAGTACAAGAATCAAACGACGTCGTTTTGACGAGCAATGCTAGCATGATATTGTCACAAACAACATAGAAATATTATGAAGGCACCTTACTACAAGCAATTTTCCCAAGAAAGAAATGGAAGCCGTCAAATATGGCAATTAAAAAGAAAGAGTAGCACTTAAAGAATGAACACGACGTCGTTTCAGAACATATGGATAGATAAAACCATCTTGCTACCGTTGGTAAATGGAAAATACATTTATGTGCCTCTCACGATAAATAGAACAGACATTGTGTTCTAACTAGAGATCTCCTCTCAAGTACAACCGCGTTTGCAACTATTTCAAGGAGGCATATATTGACCCAAGTGAAGAAGGTCCTCCCTTGGGTAATATGGGGTCTACTTCTTTCAAAATGTCGAGGGGCACTATCGACCAAACACATGGTGGTCATTGTCTATCGTGGTAAAACCAAAGCCCCTTTCTGAATCTGGATAAGTTTCTACTATAGATTTGGATAGCCTACACAGAATGTTGATAACAGAGCACTGGCTATTCACATACATCATATTGATGAAAGGATTATTATTAAATTTTTAGCTTGGTATCTCAAGCACAGGCAGAGGGAAAGAAATGTCAATGGTAGTAGGATTTCTGCTTGATTCATCCATTATATTTATATGCAATTAAGAAATGTAAACATTATATTCTTTTTCTTCATCTACAAGGTTCCGATTGATTCTAGTTTTTATGTCAAACCTCAAGTAATAAACAAGAATTACAATCTCTACCACATCAAACATTTACACTTTCATCGTAAGGTTTCCTGATCCTAGAAATATGATATCCACGCCAATGGATTGGCTAAAAGGATTATTCAAAATTTCTTAGATGAGAATAAGGCCTTAAGAGCTACAGTTAACCAGACTTATCAGTCATGGGTAGTAGTGTCAACGGGATCAGGGTCAACACAACAAATCTTGGCACTGGTATTAACTTCAAACTTAAATTAATGGAAGAGTAGAAATAACTGCTTAGTCAATTTTCCGATTATTCATTGCCTTACAGGGAGAGGAAGAAGAAGAAAAAGAATAACTATCGAAGTATCACAAAGCAAGTTTACAAGTGAGTACCTTCTACAGTTGTTTCAGGTTGGTAGGACATAAACTATGAGAAAGTTAAAGGGTTATAAATTTTTTTATACAAAAAGGTAATAAAGAATTTAGCCGAAAAGCAAATGAAAAAAAAAACATAACGTAAGGAGAGATGCACCATCACCGCACCCCCCTCCCCCAAAACCTGACCGTCTCTCTTCAAAAAAAAAAAGTTCACCTGGAAACTAAATTTTGTTTTTTCGTCATAATCGTTAATGAATCGGAAACGAGGTATTACATCTCTAGTTACAAGGAAAGCTCACCCTTCACTTGTCATTCTTTGAAGATTTCAGTAGACGGTTGCATGAACAAAAGAAAAAATTGCATGGTATAGAGGAAAAAGATAAACGAAAGCTTGAGTCGGAATAGAAAACCAAAGTGAGGAGCCATGTGAATGGATCAATAATTCAGATGGAGAGACAAGCCTATAATGAGTTTCAGGACATCTCAATACAAAAACTTTCAACAAAATCTTTCAGTTTCCTGTTTTGATGACTATTATCAGAATAAGAGGGAAAAAAGGGAAAAAAAATAATCGGGTATGACATAATGCAACGGTTATGACATTAATGTAACAATGAAGCTAGATAAATGGTTTTAATCCTCTTACACAAAGATCAAAAGAAGAAATCAAGGGAGAAATGACTCCATATTTCGGGTAATATAGCCTTAATCAATCTTAAATATAAAACTGATGAAAAGGGAGACAAGAAATAGCTCATAAAACCCACGGCATATTTTTCCTTTAATAGGTGCTAACAACAATTCTTCTAATCAAATGTTGACTAACCCTACAGAAAACCATTGGACCATTTCAATTTTCTTTTACGATGGTGCGTAAAGCATAGTCTCATGCCATGAATATAATTGCCTTAACTGAACCGTGATTGTTGTCATCCTTATTTCCAGAAATGACTAAAATCAAAGTGTTGCATTCAGCTATATTACTTCAAAGTTCAAAGAAACTGTTCAAGAGTTTGATGTCTTGTATAACCCTATTTAGAGATCTTCTGCCAGCCAGCTGCTGTTAACTAATCTTGCTTCATAGTGCAATAAAATTAATGCATTTATATTATTGTATTTCTCCAAATCAACATATGATATCTAAATTCCTTGACCTGAAAGAACTCTGGTCTAAACGTCCCCCAGCTTTTACATCTTTTTAATTTTCATTCTATCTTTTGCATAGAGCAGGAGCGATTTTGAAAAGGTTCAACGGAAAAGGGCGATTTTGCACAAAATGCTTTATCCAATCAATATAAACCACCACCTATCTGACGGTAAAACATCAAGACTCCAACCCAAAGGCCAACAGAAATGTAAAAACCCGCAATCCAATCAACTTAGAAATCAGAGCAAAGGCACAGAGCAGGGAAAAGTTACACATAGCCCACAGAGTCTTAAATCAGTTCCATGAAAACAAATTCAGATTTTTCATAAAAGCAGAACATAGAATAAGTCGTTAGACATCCGGGTTACTTGAGAAGGAATCAAAGAATCAATATATTAGCCAATCATCAAATTCTACTCATTAGGTCATCCAAAAAGTAAATCAATCAACTCCCTAAACACAAAACAAAAGAAGATCACACCGTTAAAAAATGAAAAAAAAAAAAATAATCAGAGCATAGTCGACAAGAGAACTTGAACATCAGTTACCAGCATCGGCGGCAGAGTACAGCATATGCTCCCGAATTCAGACGCCAACCTCGGTGAGACACAGCAGTAACCGAATCACAGTTATGGCAGGGGGCACGACGATCAGCCATCGCCAAAAGTCTGCAAAAAGCAAACAATCAGGAAAAATGTAAAAAAGGGTCATCCGGAATTCTAAAAATTGATGCAAGAATCTCACTCAAAATTCTCACTTAACCCACCTGAAACAACAAGGGAGAGACAGGGAGGGAGAGAGAAGAGAGCAGAGGAAAAGAGAAGAAAGCGAAATGAACGAGGGACTGGTAGGCTCGGGAGGAGATTAACACAACTTAACGGAATCACATTTATGGCAGGAGCCACGACGATCAGCCATCGCCAAAAGTCTGCAAAAAGCAAACAATCAGGAAAAATGTAAAAAAGGGTCATCCGGAATTCTAAAAATTGATGCAAGAATCTCACTCAAAATTCTCACTTAACCCACCTGAAACAACAAGGGAGAGACAGGGAGGGAGAGAGAAGAGAGCAGAGGAAAAGAGAAGAAAGCGAAATGAACGAGGGACTGGTAGGCTCGGGAGGAGATTAACACAACTTTGCAAAATCCGATGGATGGGTAAGAGGCAAAGGAGAATCCAACGGTGGGATATTGGATTCTCTGTAAGGAAAACCCATAAAAGGGTTGACAGGAGGGAATTTGCGAGGATAAGAGAGCATTTGAAAAGTTTCCATGCATGGATGAAGAATGTGGACCGAGCGTTTATGGGAGAATCCGCTCGTAATGATTATAGAATGGTTTTTTCTCGTTTTGCTGTTTTGTTGGTACAGAATTGAAGACGAAGACGTAGAAGAAGAAAAAGGAAACATATGGCGAATGTGGCTGTGTAACGCTTCGCCGGAGACGGGGGGAGGTTTTGCCTGGGTTTTTCCTCTTTTTGTTTTTTTTTCTTTCCAATTTTATTGAATTTAATTTCTATTCCCGGTTGTTTTTATTTGGGCCATTTTTTAGAAGGATATATTTTAGCCCAACATAGTATGTCTTTTTGCCATTTTACTAAGGAGAAAAAAAGGAAAAGTTTGTTTCTGAAAAAAAAAATACTCTTCTTTTTATAAGATAACGCAGCAAAAATTATCATTTCTTTGAAAATCTACTATAAATATTAACTATCCTCTATCCGAATAATTTTTGTCTTTTAAAAATAAATATTTTGTGAAAATAAATTTGACGTTAACAAAAAAAATATTTGTTTAAAAACCGGATAATTATCCTCTATCCTCTATTTATTAATTGTAATAAATTATCCTCTATCCTCTATCCGAATAATTATCCTCTATTCCTCTATTTATTATTTTATTCATTTTAACGTTAACAAAAAAAATATTTTGTGAAAATAAATTAATGTAATAAATTTATTAAAAACCAGATAAATTAAAAATGATATTTTAAAATTTATACTTTTTTAGATCCATATAACTAAAAAATTTGTTTAAATTTGTGAATAATTGAAATTGTAATTGGATATTTTTATAAGTTGAAGATTTTTTCTTCCAATGCCTCTTTGGTCGACGGTTTTTTTTTTTTTATTGTTTTAGGAGAAATAGGATTGGAAGATTTTCTGATTATAAAGTGAACGGTTAAACTAAGAGAATAAAATTTTAGTAACTGTAAATTTTCAATAGAAAACACTATAAATAGTTTTAAATAGGTTATTAACTTTCAGAATTTTAATTTTCACAAGGTAAAACAAACATATCTAACCTCATAAACCAGAGGAACTAAAAAATTTGGACCAATCATCATAACGTCTCCTTGATGATGGGGAAAAAACAGAATTACTTCAACCAACATGAAACCAGATACATCTATCTATAACTTTATATGACTTTCAAAATCTTTTTTTTTAACCCAATCACTCGTACAATTTTTTGGCCAATTGAGTTCTAAGGGCTTTGGTTTCACCCTTTGAAACTTTCTCAGCATACTTCTCAGTCATGGCTATAGCCTTAACCATGGCTTTCATCTTCCTCACGTTCTTCGATCTCTTCATCGGTTTTCCATTCTTCGTGTTTCTTCTGGCAAAAGATGAAGAATATATGTTATTCATGTGATGTAAGGATTAAGAAATACATTTCCAAAAATACAAGGAAAGCGCCCCAGCAAGTCGAGAGAAAACATCTAGACGGGTGTTCTAACATGCAGCTTTCTCCGAAAATCCATTCAGACATTACATAAAAGATACGCGAAATAGAATTCTATAAACCTCAATTCATTTGGATCCTAAAGATTCATGGTCCCAAGTGCACTTCTCTCAAACACCTTAGACTAAACTGTCAAATGGTGTACAGTTGACTTGCAGGCAATTCTCTCTTAGTTAGTCTTACAACAGCTCACAACGTATTATCACTAAGTGAAAACATTGACAAGGCAAGGAACTTTCTCCCACGTCTCATGACATTGTGCAGCATAGATTCTAGAGTATATGATTAAGTATGTCGATTGAAAAGCATGGAAGAGCTATGGCCTTGTACTGTGTTGTGTGTTCAGACCAAACACTAGCATAATCTCCTAAGAACTCGACAAAGGGGAAACTCCTACTGCAACTCCTACATGTAGTAACATATAAACTGATGTGGAAACCCTTACTGCAACTATTACAACAGCATAAGTTCCCAAATAGACCAAAACTTTCTATTGAACATGGAATCTCTTGCCGTCGAAAGGCAAGACAATCACAGAGACAAAGCATAAACTCGACCAATTCACAAAACCTTCTTCTGGAAACCTGATCTAATGCCTTTACCCAAACTAATGAAGTTAATCGAAGAAAACATAGATTAAACCAAAGTAATATTCTATTTTTCTAAGGGCTGGTAAACATAAATCCCACTTTAATGCGCAAATTTAGGAGAAGAATATGGAGATCCAGAAGGAGATTAGTTCGTGAACACATACAAGTTATGAGAATCAACAGGCGGCTTCACGTCTCCGGTCTCCGAAATGTCCATGGCTAACGAAAGAAAAGTAAAAAACTAGGGTTAAACATCGAATCCACCAATCACGAGAGCAGTAAATTATCAACTTGTTCGAAGCTAGAATCGATAAAAAAAAACAACCTAGGAAGACCGAAATCAGAACATATGAGGCGCTTACCTTCGGGACGTACGGGGAAGGAGGGTTCAGATACATCCATGGAAACCGTATCGTTTCTCTTCTTCTTGCTCCTGTTCTTCGCCATGACTGACGGTTTCCCTGCGACGACGACGAAGCAGGAGAAGAACGGCAACAACAGAACTCGAACGAAGACCCTAATTCCCAAAGCCCCTTAATACGGGTCGGGTCAATTTATTATTCGGGTTCGTTGGGAATTTTTATTGGGCCTAAATTCTTTGCCAAAATGGCCCATTAAAACCATTTACATTACAACAAAGTGCAGATTACATTACATTAATAACCAAACAATTAAACGAATTCTAACCCAAGGTATAAGTTTTCTAAACTAGAAAAAATCAAATTGACCAAAATGAATGAAAAAGTGGAAACTTTTATTATTTCAATAAAAAACGAAATTAAATCGAATCTAAACCAAACCACATTTAATATAAAATATAAAGGTTCTAAAATTAAAATAAAACCGAACCTAAATATAAAAAGTTTATACATAAGTATCCTCGTGATGAATATGTTGCTCGACTCGGATATAGAAAAAGAGAATAGTACCAAATAATATATAATCTTACACTAATCGAAATCGATTTAAAAATTAAGTCGAAATCGTTTTTACTAAATTCAATTATCACATGTAAAAAAAATAGAATGAAATTAATTTGAAACTGAACGAAGCGGATATAAAAACCAAACTTAAAATATAAATATTTTTTAATAAAATTTGTAATGGGTGGTGGGCCATTAAAAAGATAACATTTTGAAATTTTAAAATTCGTGAATACAAACCCAAGTTACCGTTAAAAGATAAAGAATTAAAGGGATAAATGGGCATAAATGAAATCCAAGTTACCGTTAAACTAAGATAAATGGATATATATGTGTGCGTGTATATATATACTTTTTTAATAATTTTTGTTATTTTTATTGTTTGATATTAATAAATCTTAGATAATTGATGGTATATCATATAAATAAAATAAAATTATTATAAGGTTAACGTTAAAAAAGTAAATTTTTATATTTAAAAATTTATTGATAATTTGTTAAAAATATAAATATTTTTATTATTAGATATAAAAAATATAAATTTTAATAGAATAAAAAAGATATACAATTAAAATTACGATACAAAAATACAAAAATTTTAATGAACTTTATTTTATTTCTATCTTTTTATTAGATAGCATATCGATTCTCATCCATCTTTAAAATATTTATCTTGATCGACACTATTTTGTTTCTTTATATTGTTATTGGGTTTCGGGACAAATTCTGCAAAATTCACGTGACTTGTTAATTTATTTTATTTGATCATTATTTTATATCAAATATCGATGGATCTATTTTATCCATGGGTCCTACGGGTACGGGCCGTGTGAATTGGATTTTGTCGTTCGGCAATTTTTTTGATAACTAGAAAGTTTTCCGAACCTTCAGTCCGACTATATCTCCCACGATTCGAGAACAGTCTGTGTATCAAAATTATCAGATAATTGTACACTTTTTTCCCCAATTCGCGGCTCGAACATGGAACCTGGGATAGAGACGCCCCACCACCTCTCACCGGCTACACCACTCGGCTACGTCCTCTACGTCCTCTTGGGTCGTTCGGCGAATTTACCAAAACCAATTAGATGTTTGATGACAATAATACTTTGATAATGCCCGACAATACGAATTTGATTTCTCCTTTTATTTTTATTGTCGATGATAATTTAATATTGTTTATATAGGTGAAGATGGTATGCTAATAATATTGTTGTTTGCTTTCTTGGGTGAAATGTGGTTTTGTATTGCTTAATAGTATTGTTTGTTAACAGTTACCACATTTTCCCAGTCGTTAGACATCCGGGTTACTTGAGAAGGAATCAAAGAATCAATATATTAGCCAATCATCAAATTCTACTCATTAGGTCATCCAAAAAGTAAATCAATCAACTCCCTAAACACAAAACAATAATTTTAAAATACATAAATGTGAATAGTGTTAAAAAAAAACAAAAAGAATGTCAGATAGACTATAGTTTTCGGACATTAAAATGAGACATTCCGTTGCGGACGTGTCGGGACAAGCCATGCACGACACAACATCACCAGAGCATGCATCCTTCTTTTACTATTAATTTTTTTTTTCATAAATTTTTTTACTCTCCATCACGCCCAATGATGCAAAGCGGTAAACACATCACGTGACCCATTCGGCAAAAGTAAAAAAGAAAAAGTTGAAAAAAGAAAATACCGGACATTTAGACCTATTTTAAATTGATTTTGGTTACATAATCATTCATCCCATCAAAATATGACCGCCTATATTACCTACTTCAGTTCGGTTTTTTTATTTTTACAAAAATAAATATTAATCGGTTATTATATTATATTCAGTTTGATTCGTTTTCGATTCTTATTTAAAAAATTATTTAAAAAAAATCGATTTTTTCGGGTTTTTAAAAATTCAATTTGGTTAGGTTTCGAAAAATTGGTTTTTCTAAAATTAATATCGTTCAGAAGAAGTTTTAGATGGTATGAATCGGATAAAATACCGTATTTTTTTTGTTCGGTTCTGGCCGAACCGAAACGTGCGCCCTACTAATTACCTATGCAATAAGTATTTATTAAATGTATTAATCACGGACACTTGTGTAGTTGATGGAAAAAATCTAAGGTGAGGTAATCATTGTTAGTTTCAAAAATCTTACCACATGGTAATGAATACCTCTAAAGGGTCTTTGGTTAATTTGAGCACTGTGTTTGGTTAGGGGATTAGACTCACAACGGAATAATTGCGAGTTGAATTTGGTTGGAAAGGCACGTAAACTTTTTGGTGACGACACCATCAAAAATTAAATGTTATCCAAATTATTACGTGAATCATCATGGGATGGTCAGTACCGGAATTAAATATATTTATTAATGATTTGAAATTAGTATTTCTTCCTTGTCAACAATTATTGGGCTTTTAAACTGTTGATATATATATATATCCTTGTGTCTCCATTGTTCTAATCGTTAGTGCCCTTTTTCGCACGATTAGCGGAAGCCACGTTATGCGTGGATCCACCTTATATAGAATGGGGTAGCTAATTAAAAAATATTAATTATTTTTATAAATTTTGTAATGTTACCGATAAAAATGTTAAATTACCCCATAAAAATAAATTTATTACCTTCAAATTAAATGTATAAAATTTTACCCACTTTCATAATTTTCTATGGATCTGCCACTATATATATATATATACACACACACGGATCAACGAACAAATGTTATCAAAGGAGCCTCAAAATGATGAATTTCCATTGGTAGCATTAGTAGAAAGAAAACCCCAATTAACCATGCCATAAAGGTTATGTTTCTAATTATAATTTCAGACGAGTTTGGTGGGTCACAATAACGTGAGCGCCTTGATTGAGGGGTAGAACTGTCAAATCGTATGTTTCATTTAATGTGTCACGTTCAAAAAAACCTTTTTGACTTTTTTTTATTATTGTCTTTATGATAAATTATGTGAATACATTAAGTAAACATTACTGGCAGGCAATTAAAATTTACCAATTTTTTTTTTTTAAAAGAATACGATAACACAATAGTAGTTGTTTGAAAAACTTGGGAATTCGTAATCTACCCGGGAAACGTGTAGGAATTAGAGATGAATTTTTCGACATTCGATTCGAGTTCAATTCAAAAAATTGTTCCGATTTTATAAAAATATATACCAATTGATTATTTTTTTTATTAAAAAAAATTTAGATTTGTTTGAAAAAATTTGATTTTTTGAATTTTTTAAAATTCGAATAGATAAAAAAACAGTTTTTAAAATTACCGTTTAAAAATTTTGGACAAATCGGTTGTAAACAGTATCATATTTTTCGATTCTATAATTGGATGTTGACTAACAGTACCAAAACGCACAGCAAAATTATTTTTATTTTCCTCATATTATTAATTTTGTGTATTATGGTTAATTAATATGTTATTATACTCCAGATCCGGAAACCTTTTTATTTTTAATTAAAAAAAAGACGCATTTGAATTTTTGCCGGAGAAAAACAAAATGGAAGAAGAAAGGAACAGCGGGAGCATGTATTATCTTCTTCTTGTTCCCAACAAAGCAAAAGTCGCAACCTTTGAGAAAAAATAGCAATTTTCTCTGGGAAGAAAATTCTCAGAGGTTTTATTTTCCCAGTAACCAAACAAATCCCTTTCCTCCCTGTTTTCCCTCTAACAAACAACCTTTTAACCTCTTCTCTGTTTTGTTATCCCCCCCCTCGTCTGTGCTCCATTGAACTCGTAAGTTTCGCTTCCGTTTCTTCTTCTCAAAGTTTGTTTCTTGTCGTTGGCAATGGATTTGGCTTTCTACTCTTTTCCACGTTTGGCAAATTCGTTTCGACTTTATTTTCCTTTCGTTATTCAGCTTCTGTAACGACAAATTCAGGAGTTTCCATCCCCCCAAAAGATTTCGTCCAAAAACCTCGAGATTTCCAGTTTCTGGTTAAAAATTGAGTTTTTATTTTGCTGAATCTCTGATATTCAGGTTTCCCTAGAAGATCTCAGGTTCCGAGGAGCATATGCATGGTTAACGAGGCGTGGGATTCTTCTTCTGGCTTCGACGTTTTCTTCGGTCTCCTCCATGATTCCATAAATTAGGGTTTATATGGAGCTCGATTTGCGCGAAATGCTTGTCGATTAAGCCTCTGCGAGGGATTTCCGTTGGTGGGTTCTGAATTTCTTCTGCGATTACTTTCGGTGAGACGCGAAGAGAATACGATGATATTATCGGCGTCGCCGACGACGCTGGCGAAAAGCTCGCTGGAGGAGATGCTCGAGTCTCTTCGCAGGCAAGACGAGTACGATCGGCCGACAGATACTCCGCCTGCGCTTCCGGCCCGGCCGAATTCTAGGGCCCGGCTGCCGTCGGCGCGACGATCGCTTCCGGCGAACTTTGGCGTCGGAAATGTGATCGGAGACGGGAACGGGGCCATCTCCGCCGCGGCGGAGAGCGAAGGCAAGGGGAAGGAGGATGGGAAGAGGAAAGAGAAGGATTTAGGAGTGAAGAGGAAGACCTTCGGGAGCAAGAAAATGAGGACTGAGCAGAGCGGGGAATGTCCGTACACCGCGAAGGAGAAGAACGTTGCAATGGAGGGTGTGAAGAGTAGCAGTGTTCAGGTGAGTTCAGCGAAGAAGGCTGAGGACCGTAAGAAGTCTCCGGAATCCGAATGGAACGATAACGTTGAGTATTTCATCAAGAAGGTGAGTCTTTTATTGGATAAAGTTTGAAACTTTGAGATATTGGGGTTGATTTCCTTTTTGGTGACGTACGGTGAGGCTTTTAACTTGTTATAGCTAACTCTGTAGTGAAGATTATAGAGGTTTCTTTGATTTGATGGACATGAAAGATTGAGCATTTTAGTCCTTCTGATGTCAAGATTTTGACTCTGATTTATAGTCTTTGATCATATGATGGGGCAGATTATGACAGCCGCATTTACTGTGGATGTTTTGATTTCAGAAACTTTGTGTTTGGTGTCGGGCACCTAATGGGCAGTGGCAATTGGGGATAATACAGTCTACTTCCGGTGACGAGTCGTTTGTCATGTTGTCCCATGGAAAGGTAAGTTTCTTTAAGTTAAACTCTCATCTGTAAGAGTTACAGGGGCCTGACTGTATCTGATGTTTAAATTTGTGCTACCAAAGGTTGTGAAAGTGTCTACAGAAGGGATCTTCCCTGCAAACCCCGAGATTCTTGAAGGTGTTGAAGATCTTATACAGTTAAGTTATCTGAATGAGCCATCGGTCGTTTGCAATCTACGGGTCAGATATTCACAAGACTTGATTTATGTAAGTTTAAAGGAAACTCTGTCTGATCGGACTGATTAGTTTGTCATTTCTCTGTTTACTCTTTGAACTGATTCTCTTGCTTATGTTCTGTAGAGTAAAGCCGGGCCAGTTTTGATTGCCGTCAATCCGTTTAAAGATGTCCAGATTTATGGAAAAGATATCCTCTCGGCTTATCATCAGAAGGTTTTGGACACTCCTCATGTGTATGCCGTGGCTGATGCAGCTTATGTTGAGATGATGAGAGGTGAGTAGAAGTATTTTCTTTTCACACTTTTCCTTTGTCCATTAAACTGGGAAACAAAACTCTTTGAGTGTGCTGACATAATGAGTTTCTGGTGATTACCCTTTGAACTTCTCTATTTGCAGATGGCAAGAACCAGTCTATCATTATAAGGTAAGAGCCTTTCACTTCTGAAGTTCGCCTCCTGCTGGATGTAGAGGTTAACGGTTTGAGACGTAAATATGGATGATCATTTGGTTATATAATTATTCTACAGCGGGGAAAGTGGAGCTGGGAAAACTGAGACGGCAAAATTCGCGATGCAGTACTTTGCAGCTCTTGGTAGAGGTAGCTGTGGGGTAGAGTATGAAATCCTAGAAACAAATGGTATTCTTGAAGCATTTGGGAATGCTAAAACATCAAGAAACTCAAACTCTAGCCGATTTGTAAGTTATTTATAGCAGCTTTTCCCTCCATATTTTGCATGAAATATATTCTGTATATTAAGATGTTATTTTATTTCAACTAACAGTGAAACGAAATGGGTGCAGGGTAAACTGACTGAAATTCATTTTAGTGTGATGGGACATATATGTGGAGCCAAAATTGAGACTTGTGAGTAACAATTTGACCTCTTTATGATTTTCTTGTGATGTTTGTGGTTTTGTGCTCACATACTTCATTTTTTCTTCATTGTTTTGCGTTAATATTCTTTGCTGGATGCACACAGTTCTGCTAGAAAAGGTACTCTTTGTTTCCCTATGTAAATTTTTCATTGATTTTTCACCCCTTAATCGTTGCTGAAGCTGTTTGTTAGTTTCCTTTTATCAGTCAAGAGTGGTTCAGTTGTCCGATGGTGAAAGATCCTACCACATCTTTTATGAATTGTGTGCAGGGGCTTCACCAACTCTCAGAGGTAACGTTTCAAACTGAAACATCTAAGATTTAATACCAATATATATATTCATTCACATTTGTCATGCTTTGAAAATGTCCCTGCTGAAGTAGAATACAGACACACCTAAATCTTAGCTAGAGTCATCAGCAAGCTATTTGTTCTTTGATTTTGTTTGCAGAGAGATTGAAGCTTAAGACAGCAAGTGAGTACAACTATCTGAATCAGAGTGATTGCTTGACCATTGATGGTGTTGATGATGCTATGAAATTTCAGAAACTAATGGTAACTTTTTTTGTGTCCTATCTGTGCCTCTATTCCTGTGGAGTTGTAAATCCTGGGACTTTGTTGTTTGTTTTTCTGATTGCTATATCTCATTTTCTGTAGGAAGCTTTTGATATCGTTAAAATACCAAAAGATTATCAAGAGCGTACATTTGCACTTCTTGCGGCTGTGTTGTGGATAGGGAACATATCTTTCCAAGTGATTGACAGTGAAAATCATGTGGATGTGGTAGCAGATGAAGGTAGAATCTATAGGCCTTCACTCATCATCACCATAACTGGCATCATAAAGTTCTTCCTTGACATCATTTATTGAATAAATGTATCAGGCATGAACTTATTGCCAATGCTTTTGTCACAGACTATTGGTTGGTTAGTGTTTGAGGACTAGTTATGATAGAACTTTTTACCCTGTTTGTTACTTTATCCTGCATCTTTGTATGAAGAAATGATCAAATTTGGTCACACTTACAATTTATCTGTTGTTTTTGGTAGCTGTCACCAATGCTGCAATGCTTATGGGTTGCAAGCCTGAGGAGTTTATGGTGGTTCTATCTACCCGTAAGCTCCAAGGGGGTAGGGATGCTATTGCTAAAAGACTGACATTGCCTCAGGTTCGCTTGTTTTTAGTTTATCCTAATATTTGTTATTCAAAATCATCTAAGGGGTTGATATGTGAATCTCTTAATCATCTCATGTTTAGGCAATTGATATGAGGGATGCGTTGGCAAAATTCATCTATGCCAGCCTTTTTGACCGGCTTGTTGGACAGATAAACACTACGCTGGAAGTTGGTAAATCAAATACAGAGAGATCTATAAGTATTCTTGATATATATGGGTTTGAATCATTCAAGGTTAGTTACTGTGCTACATATTTTCTCAGTCACAATTTCTTTTTTGACTCTGTGATGATTTGATCTCCTTTGTTTCAGAATAATAGTTTTGAGCAATTCTGTATTAATTATGCAAATGAGAGACTGCAGCAACACTTCACACGGCATATATTTAAACTTGAACAAGAGGTGATATATAAAGATCTAATCTTTTCTTCTAGCCACTTACTCTTCATTGAATTGTCTGTTCTCTCTATTCATGTAAACATCATCAATGTTCAGGAGTATGAAGTGGATGGAATTGATTGGGCTAAGGTCGAATTTGAAGACAATCAAGAGTGCTTAGATCTCATTGAGAAGGTAATTCACAGCTTTTCCTGAATAGAAGGGTCGGTTTAAATGCTTTGTTTTAAAATATGAAATGATGATCTTTTACGATGTTTTACAAAGACATCTCTTTGGTTAGAATAAAAATGGTAATGTTTTCCATGTGGCCGATTGTGCAGAAACCCGTTGGTTTGTTGTCTCTATTAGACGAGGAATCAAAATTTCCAAAGGCGACTGATTTGACCTTCGCCAATAAGCTCAAGCAGCACTTGAAGGCTAATCGCTGCTTCAAAGGAGAAAGAGGTCGAGCCTTCAGGGTTAACCATTATGCTGGAGAGGTCAGTTTATGCCCCCAGCTCCAGCACCTTGATTCTGCATAGTGAGCATATTGAATTGTTTTTATGTGGGTCTGACAATTAATATGGTACCGGAGGAATTACATCTGGCTCAGGTTCCATGATGGGGGAGTGTATACTGAGTGATATTTTTGTTAATAGGTTCTCTATGATACAAATGGTTTTTTGGAGAAGAACCGAGATCCACTACATGCTGATCTCATACAACTTTTATCATCATGCGCATGCCACTGCCAGTTGGTGAAATCGCTGGTTATGAAAAATTCTAACAAGTCTCAGAAGCCATCAATGTTATCAGATTCTACAAATCAAAGTGTTGGTACGAAGTTTAAGGTACTTCCAAGGCTTGAACTCTGCAGTCTTGTTTCTCTACTCACATTAATTCTTGTATCCACATATTTCTTTAATAATTTTTGCTTGTCCATGATTTTTAATTTGTTCGATGCTTAACAGGGTCAACTTTTCAAGTTGATGAACAAGTTGGAGAACACCACTCCTCATTTTATCCGATGCATAATGCCTAATTCTAAGCAGTTTCCCGGTGTATATGAGGAGGATCTTGTCCTTCATCAACTTAGATGTTGTGGTGTTTTAGAGGTTGTCAGAATATCTAGATCGGGATTTCCCACCCGGTTGACTCATCAAGAGTTTTCAGAGAGGTGAGCTTCGCAACTTTATTTCTGTACTTTTGTGGATAACCGACTTCCACAAATTTTCTGAGCGATTTGTTTTCATTTGGCTTGCATACATCTTAGATATGGATTTCCGCTCTCCGGCACGATAGTATCTCGGGATCCACTGAGCATATCGATTGCTGTTCTGAAGCAATTTAATATCCCTCCTGAATTGTTTCAAGTTGGTTATACGAAATTGTACCTCCGAACTGGGCAAGTAAGTTCCTAAACGTGGAAGCCAAGCCACGAGTGTATTTGTTTCCACTACTGACAATTGTAATGTAATGCCTTTGTTTTCACCATTTTTTTATAGATCGGTATCCTCGAGGGTAGAAGAAAACTAATTCTGAAAGGTGTAATTGGGATACAGAAACACTTCCGCGGCCGGTGGTCTCGTCAATATTTCCGGCAGCTGAGGAATGGGGCAATGTTACTGCAATCATGTAATCACCAACATACCTCTTTTATGCTTATTTTCGGTCTTCATCTCTCTATTTTGCATATTTAGTTCTCTCAATACGAGGGTTGATATTTATCTTTAGGTAGTCAGATCACTAAGAGTCTTGAATCTGATTGACTAATATTCACTTGCTGCTGCAGATATCCGAGGTGAAAATTCCCGAAGAAAGTATGATGTTATATACCGTGCAGCTTCTGTATCCCGAGCCATTGCAGAAGAGATAACTGCAGCCATATTCTTGCAATCAGGTGGGTAGTTTGCCTTCTTGCCCTTGCTTTAAGATTATTGCTTCCTCATCATTCATTGCAGATTTCACCATTCTTCTTCGCCTTCTCCTGTTTTGCAGTTGTACGTGGCTGGTTGGCTCGAAATAAATTCAATAGCTTGCAATGCAAGAAACAATCACATGGCGAGAAGACAAAACCAAAGAGGAGATCGAATAGGAGGATTTCTGAAGACAAGGTAGTGTTCTGTAAGATGGTTGTGCTGTTCTTTTCTCCGATCCCTATTTTGCTAAAACTCTGTTTCCCCATTTCTGTTTAGGATCTACTGCAAGAGCAGGTCCAGGCCCCACCTCCAACTTCTGCTATGGCTGAACTTCAGAGGCGAGTTCAGAAAGCCGAAGCAGCTTTAGTGCAGAAGGAAGAAGAAAACACTGAACTGCGGGGCCAATTGCGACAATTTGAGGCAAAGTGGTCAGATTACGAGGCAAAGATGAAGTCGGTGGAGGAGGCGTGGCAAAAGCAGATGGCATCGTTGCAGGTACAACCATTGATTTGCTCTTCTGACTCAATAATAGTTACGAATATTTTTGTTGAAAGCTTTTAATTTTGGAGTTTTTGCTTCATCAGATGAGTCTCGCAGCTGCCAGGAAGAGTCTTGCTGACAACAATGGAGGTCATCCAACGAGACCCGACACTTCGATATCACTGTTCGGTTATGATTCAGAGGACACAGTGACGTCTATAGGAACTCCCGGAATTTGCACTCCCACGAAATTCACCAATGGCAGTTTAAACTCGGTCAGCAATCTTGCCAGAGAATTCGAGCAACGGAAATTTAGTTTCGATGAAGATGCAAGGTCTCTTGTCGAGGCGAAAATGGGACCACAGCTATCCATTTCCGACGGCCAACACCACCCAGAAGAAGAACTCAAGAAACTGAAGCTGAGATTCGAGACATGGAAGAAAGATTACAAAGCCAGGTTACGAGAGACAAAAGCAAGACTCCATCGACTAGATGGCCACAAGAGTCACCATCGGAAATGGTGGGGCAAGATCAGAGTCTAGGGCTTTTAACCTGAACAGATCAGCACTAGGGTTCAGTGAGAGAGACAATACATGTAAAAGTGTATATACATCTGCATATCACACTAGGAGAAGGATCATAGTCATCTGATAAATATAGTTTCAGAGGTGATACAAAATCAAGCTCCAGGTACGAACTTTGTAGCATAAGCCCTGGCATTGTTAGCAACAGGGTTATCAAGAAGGTCAAGAAGATTCTGCAGAGGTCCTTTCCCTGTAACAATGGCTTGAACGAAGAACCTGAACATGGAGAACATAGCCAGCCGGTCATTCTTGATCTCCTTAACCTTGAGCTCAGCGAAGGTAACCGGGTCATCGGCCAGACTCGACGAGTCAAGGTACCGTCCACCCGGGGAAATGTCATTCCCTTCTCCAACCCCTTCAAAGCCATTGATGCGGAGCCATTAGGGCGACTTGGAAAGCGAGGACGGCTAATCTGCTCTGAGCGATGGACGAGGTTAGGGTTTCTGAGATAGTCCAAACCTCCTTCGGAGAATAAATATCTGAGCGCCGGCTTTGAACCAGGCTGGCTCTTTGAAGTCAACACGAACCCATGTCTCAAGCACTTCAGGTGTTAAGCATTCTTATGGAGAGTTGGAAATCTTGACGCCATTTTTCTTTTGGTGTTGTACAATTTGTGTGTAACGTTCACATGGATATTTGAATGTAATTAGCAAATTGAGAAGAGAGGGACGAAGGAGCAAAACTCAAAGAGTGAGAGATGGAGAGAGAGGATGTGGGCATCAGCCAGACAGAAAGCAGCTTCGGATTTTGCCCATTAATACTTTGTGCACCAAAGAATTGCACGGCATCGTTGAAATGAATGATACGCAAAACAAAAATATTCGGAGATTCCTTGTAAAGCAAGCGAAGCAAACAAGACGCCCCACAGTTGTTGCAATCTTCCATATTTACTTACATCCTATAAAAGAAAACCTTTTTTTGTCCTTGACAGAGGTCCCTGGTCGTATAAGTTTAAACAAAACAAAACTGGGAGCCACAATCGCTCATTTCCAACGCGTATTTTACCTCCTCAGAGCTCCGTAATTCTTAGTAACCTGCATCACGATACATATGATATTTGATGTCAAACACATCTGCCCTGAAGCTGAATGGTTCAGTAGAAAAATGGTTGGCGTGAAAGGAGATGATAACATACCCGAGGTTGAGATCTGTTCAGTTTCTTCTCTATATCTTTGTCGTCCTCGTCGTCATCATCGTCCCTGCTACTGAGTAGCCTCTGAAGCGAAGAACTTTCTGACTTCCTCCCTCGTTTTGAAGTTGTAGAACTTCTACTACCTCTGCCACTCTTTGTAGCTTGTCTTTTACGTCCCCTGCCTCTACCGGTGTTATCCTCGTCCTTATAGATTCATTATCCCAAAACAAAATGGGATTTGGTTAGTCAATCCGAGGAATCCCTAGGACAGAAATCAAGTAGTGGGATTTGGCCAAAATGTCACGAGCTTTGTAACATCAACATGGGTCAGGGCAAAGTGGTCCAAAAACCGAATACCGATAGCAGAAGACTAAGACATCAATGAGAAGATTAATTGCTGCAGGGGATAGTCCATACCGAACTGCTGTCAATTGTGTTAATACCCTCGGGTTCTGCTTCTTCGCTTGAAGGTGAATCAACATTATCATCTTCAGTAGAAGCAAAACCTTTGAAGGTGGCTGTGGCTGTTGCTGCTGCAGATCTATGAATGACAAATCACTGACATAGGTTAGCTAGTGATGTGGATCCTACCCTGCTCGTGTTACTCCCTAGCACTATGGATTACATGTTTAAACTCATCTGACCTTTGAGACTGGCGAAAACCTAGAGCGCCATCAAGAGTGGTTTGCTTCATGGCACTTGAACCCCTACCACGACCTCTCCCCCTTGTTGAGGCTTTAGCTCTACCACGATCTGAAGACCCACGAGACGTCTTAGCAGTGGATGAACCTCTTCGACCTCTACCGGCAGGCACTGAACCGGAGATCTGAGTTGTGTCTTCATCATCACTGAAGGAAGCATTTCCAATTCCGCTAGTTCTGTTCATCATATCCTGTATAGAGAAGTTCAGGTAGATAATACTTGTAAGCAAACGTATGACAGATATGAATGTGACACCAAGAACATCTAAGGCGACAAATGCTACCTCTGAGGACAGTCTAGCAGATAAAAACTGTGAGGAACCTGATAAGTATTTCAGGGTTTACGTCAGAGGCAGGAAGAGAGGAAAAGAAGCAGTAAATGGTAAAAATTAAAAATTAAAAATTAAAAATTAAAAATTAAAAATTAAAAATTATTAAAATTATTAAAATTATTAAAATTATTAAAATTATTAAAATTATAAAAATTATAAAAATTAAAAAATTTAAAAATTAAAATTTAAAAATTAAAAACCTTAAACCCGATACCCGACCTAAACCCCAAACCCTAACTTTCCATTAGAACATTCATCTTTCCACTAATTCAGCACAAACAGATTTAACCCTATAATTCTAATTAACAAACTTCCGACTACTCCTAGTTAAACTTTTTATACAATTAAACATTAATACATATACATATACATATACATATATATATAATTATATACGTATATATATATATTTACACATATACATATACATATACAATTACATATATATACACAAATATCCAACCGAGTTTTCCAGAATCGAACTAAATTTCAAAAACACGAAAAAAATAATTTTAAAAAAATATTTTCTAAATAAAAACACTACAAGAAACATCCAAAATTGCGATAGAAAAAATATGTCGTAAATATAAAGAAAATTCATCGCAATTATAAAATTTTGATGGAATACGATGAAACAATTTTCGTCCGTAAAATGTTGTCGCAAAAGTTTTTCATATGTTAATCCATTACTAAAATTGCGACAGACGAAATATGCGTTTTGCGATATACGGAAAATTTTGTCGCAAATGTTTTTTAATTTAAAAAAATCAAAAATAATATATTATACATCTACATATACATATATATTCATATACACATCATTACACATATAATTTTATATATATATACATATTCATACATATTTACACATATACACATACATACATAAATGCATATACACATATTTCATATACACATCACATAAACAACGTACACATTTCAACACGGATATTCATATTCATATACATACACATATACACACATACATAAACACATACACATATACACATATACACACATACATAAACACATACACATACACATACATACATAAACACATACACCCTAAACCCGAAACTTAAACCCCAAATCCCGAAACCCTAAATCCGACCCTGACCCGACTTCGACCTCGATCCCGACTCTAAATCAAACCTAAACATTTAAATTTAATTCTCAAACTCACTTCCCAATAGATCACTCATCCTCTCACTACTCCAGCACAATCTCCTTAACACTAGAATTTAAATTATTAATTATCCAACTGCTCCAACTATTCCAATTTAAACTTCTGATATCATATAACATTAATATATATACATATATAAATTTTTATACATATAAATATTTATATATGTATAAATACGCATATACATATATACATACTCACATACATATATACATATATATATACACATATATTTATATGTATGAATATTTATACGTAAATATGTATATATATTTACGTATATACACATATATACGTATGTATAAATATATAAAAGGAGAAATCGCCAAAAAACTCTGTATTCTTCTCAGGTCAATGAAAAAACTCTGTACTTTTTTACTTATCAATTAAATCTTGTACTTGATATGATTATCACATAAAACTTTGAACTTTTTAAAATTCGCCGAAAATTTCCTCGTCTGCTAACTCAAAAATTAATATATATATACATATAAATTCACATATACATATATATATTAAAAATTAAATTTTTTGTAATTAATAAAACACATATACACATAACTACAATATATATGTATATTATAACTAATACATATATATATATATATATATATATTAAAATAAAAATAATTATAATTAATTTTATGTACATACATAATATACATATTAAAATAAAAATAATTATAAATAACATATACATATAATATATATTAAAAATAATATGTATATATAATATATTAGTTATACATTCAACATAAACATATACAACTAATATGTATATTAAAATAAAAATAATTCTAACTAATATATATATTAAAAAATAATATGTATATATATATTATTTATAGTATAATTTATAATATATATTATAGATGTGTATATATGTATTTTATTAGTTATAAATAAGTTTATATTTAATATAAACCCTAAACCTCTAGCCCCAAACTCTAAACCCTACGCCCAAAACTCTAAACCCTAACTTTCCAGTAGGTCACACATCCTTCCACTAAACGCTTAACCCTAGATTTCTAATTGACTAACTTTCAAGTACTCCAAGTTAAAGTTCCAACACAATCAAACATTAACATATATACATATACATATATATACACAAACAAATATACATATACACAGTGGCGGACCTACGTTATGAAGGATGGGGGCACAGGCCCCTCTCTAATTTAAAAAAATGATGATTTTGACATAAAATTACAAGGAAAACTATCAAATGCCCCCCATAAAAAATATCATTTGATTTTATAAAATGATAGGTATAAAATGAATGCCCCCACTTATATTATTTTTTAGATCCGCCACTGTATATATATATATTTACACATATACATATATATATATATACAAATATATATATATACACATACATATACATATATTTACACATACATATATATAGACATACATATATATCATACACACATACACATAAATATACACGTTATAAATACTCATACATAAATATATAGTCCGATTCCTTGGAACCAAACCGTATCGAATCGAAAAATATGATATTTTTTCCAATACGAACCGTCTAAAATTCCAACCGAGTTTTCCAGAATCTCAAAACCCGAAAAAACTAATTTAAAAAAAATAAATGTTTTTTAAATTAAAACCACTACAAGAAAGATCCAAAATTACGATGGAAAAAATCGGTCGTAAATATAAAGCAAATTCATCGCAATTACAAATTTTTGATGGAATGCGACGGAATAATTTTCAACAGTAAAACATTGTCGTAAAAGTTTTTCAGACGTTAATCCATCGCTAAAATTATGGCAGACGAAATCTGCGTTTTGCGACAGAAAAACTACGGAAAATTTCGTCGCAAATATTTTTTAATTTAAAAAAATACAAAATTAATATATTATACATATACATATATATATACATATATATTCATATACACATGCATTTATATACACGTACATTACACATATACACATATAATTTTACATATATATACATATATTCATACATATTTATACGTATATATACATACAACATAAATACACATACATATATATGTTCACATACACATCACATAAACACACGTACACATTTCCACACATATTCATATTCACATACATACACAACACACACATATATAAACACATACACCCTAAATCCAAAACCCGAAATCTGAACCCCGAACCCCTAAACTCGACCCTGACCCCATTCTGACCTCGATCCCGACTCTAAATCGAACCCTAAACATTCAAATTTAATTTCCAAACTCATTTTCCAATAGATGACCCATCCTCCCACTACTCCATCAATATCTCCTTAACTTTAGAGTTTTAATTGTTAATCATCCAACTGCTCTAACTACTCCAAGTTAAACTTATAATATCATATAACATTAATATATATACATATATAAATGTTTATACATATAAATATTTATATCTATAAATACACACATATATATATACATAAACCCTAAACCCTAAATCTAACCCGAAACCCTCAACCCGGAACTCGAAACCCTGAACCTCTAAACCCTAAACACTAACTCTAACCCCTAAACCCTAAATTCTGAACCCTGAACCTGATCCCAATTCCAATCCTGACCCCGACCCCGATCCTGACCTAGACTCCGATCCCGATCCCGACTCCGATCCCGACTCTAAATGGAATCCAAAATTTTGAAATGTAATTATCGAACTCACTTCCCAATAGATCACCCATCCTCCTATTACTCCAATATAATCTTCCTTAACTATAGAGTTTTAATTTATAATCATCGAACTACTCCAAATTAAACTTCTGATATCATATAACATTAATATATACATACACATATATATATATATACATATATACATATACATATATATTTACATGTATGAATATACATGTAAATATTAATATATACACATTCGAATTCATATATATATATATATATATATATATATATATGTGCATAACATATATATGTAGTATAGATACACGATATATAAGCGTACATGTTTTGGTTCCTACCGAACCAAAAATATCGGTATTTTTTCCGAACCGTACCATTCAAAATATGTTTATACATATCGATATACTTATATATTTATGTAGAATATATATTTGTATATATAAATACACAATATATACATACTATAAATATCGATATATATATATATAAACATTTATTCTTATATATATCTGTAATTATATACATAATATATTTTTATATGTAAATATATATCCATAATATATTTATATATATACATATATATATTATTACAAGAAACAATCGAAATTGCGATGAAAAAATCCGTCGTAATTATAAAGAAAATCCGTCGCAATTACAAATTTGCGACGGAACAATTTTCGTCCGTATAGTGGTATCGCAAAACTTTGTCGGTCGTTAATCTATCGCTAAAATTGCGATGATGAAATCTGCGTTTTGCGATGGAAAAACTACAGAAAAATCCATCGTAAATATTGTCGAATCCGTTTTGAGGGTATAAAAGAGTTCACGTCACGACAACTGTTGGGTTGGAGTGGCTGCGACATCATCGAAATCTCAATAGTATTAGACCCAGGGTATGGTGATGATGATGATGATAATGAGATTAAATCCTCTCTCGCTTGTGCTTTGTTTCTCCATTGACGCCTTCTTCCTCCGTAAATGTAGGCACAGTCCGAAGCAAGAAATGAGTTGGCTACACTTAAGAGATTTCCCTTCCACAAAAAACGGGAACCTTGACCTTCAGATTGCTAAAATATCCCAAAGGGAAGATTAATAGACGAAGAGGTTTCCATAGACTGTTGGAAATGCTACTAGTTAGTTAGATAACTTTGTCCTCTACCCCGTATTTCCAGTATGTTAGACCATGATCAGCTTGTTGATTCCAATGTCGGATATGTTCAGTCAAACATCTTTACTGCTTTCTTTATGAATCCATTCATTTTAGGGCTTAGGTCATTATAACCACTTGATCGACAGAATAGGTGGAAAGATGGAGTGAAGTTTTACATTCACGATTGAACCATAGGTCATGGGGTATTCAAAATTTGACATGCATCGAGGTTAATCTAATTTGCACGTTAGATGTAATGAAACTATATATTAATTTTCAAAGCTTCGTTTTTTTAATCTGGGTTCATCTGAATGAATCCGCTTTAAGGGTATGAAATAGTTCACGATAACTGCAGGGGACTGGAGTGGTGCGACATCATCGAAATCTCAATGGTATTAGACCCAGGATATGGTGACGATCGATGATGATGATGGTGAGTTTTACTGCTTTTACTTTAGCGGATTCACTCAGCCGTTCTTAGTCTCCCACCCTTTGATACTTGTGGATTGTAATATCAGAGTTGCTTCTCACTGAAATTCATGACAAAACAATAAATAACACATTGTGAAGAGATGCCAACTTTATTTAAAAAAAATATATAATATTAAAACTCCAATTTTCTATAATGGCTATCTTCAATTATCGAGAAGAATCCAATGCCAACCACAACGTGATAACCTAACCAGTCATATCCCTAATAATAAAAACTACCCCCAGTAGATCATGGAGGAATTGGCTGGTAACTTTTCAGATGCATATGTAACAGTCAATACCGGTAGTCGCAAAACATAAGCTATAGTATTCGATCAATGACAACGATGAATAAAACGGGTGAAGACAACAAACTCATAGATTAAATTGTTACTAAATCAAGTGGCCAACACTACATTCTCGGCGCACAACTGAAACGTTGCTGAATCGAACTCAGTTGAAACAATCATCGAAGAAGCAAAGGTTCATCATGCTTATGATCACAAGATCCAATCCTATCTATCCTTGAGTTCCCGCTCAAATAGGCAGAGTTTCATGCGAATAGGCTCCAAAAACTGCTTCAAATCCAGACAAATCCGCTGCTTTTGCTGTTGCAAAAGTTCGCTGTCTTCAATGGGACTCACATCCAGCTGCCACACGCATAATGTGTGCATATATTTCCGGTCAGAATCTCATTACCTATTGTTGATACGAAATAGAACCTCTGAATTGTATAAATAATGTCAATATGCCTATACATGTCCGCCTCTCAATACAAATACAAATTGAAGTGAAGAGATGTTACCTGGAGATCATCTAGTTCGCCGAAAGAGAACTCGGGAATGTCCAGCCTTCCCTTGACCTTCTTCTTATTATCTTCAAATGTCCAGTCCCCTGAGTTAAGTGAAATAAAGGAAATCAGACTGCAGTAACACAGAAACATTGAACAAAAAAAAAGCAAGAAATGATAATGCAAAAAATTTTAACTGTTTCAGGGGAGGACAAATCTCATCCATTAACAATTAGCTGACCTTGCATTTGGCTTTCTTTGAGAGTTATAAAAAAGAAAACTTTTAACGAAATACAATAGCGGTTTCACATTTCTAGTCACCCAAAGTGCTTGGAAACTTTTGCTGTAAATCCCGCAGCTTATGAATACACATATTGTGGAGGAAAATGGTGAGCAAGAGCGGGAACGGAGAGAGATCCTACCTTCAAATTTGAGGGAAATCTCATAAGTGTAGCCGACTCTTTTCTTGTTTCGGACTGTAATTAAGAATGCCTACATTAGGGGGAAGAAGGCGTCAATGGAGAAAAAAGCACGCGAGATACAATAAGTGAGAGAGAATGGGACTAACATCTCCTACGCATCTACTGACATCCTTAATCTCAGCGGTTCCGGAAGAGAATTCCAAGGAGCCGACTGATACAAGCAACTCCTGCAGCCCACCTCAAACCATACCAACAAATCGGATATTGCAAAAAAAAAAAAAATTAAAGGAAAGAGGAAGAAGAAGTGTCAAGTATAGAGGAAAAGACCTTTAACCGATCGGTGGCCCATTTGGTGAGACTCTTTTCCTCCCAGGTGCCAGCCTGTGGAAAACGAGGACATGTTGAGCATGCAAAATAAAGAAAAGGAAGTAAAAGGCTTGTGATGTGAAATAGCTTTGCTTCAGGTTTGAGATTGAGAGAGAGAGAAATGAATACTCGATTCCAGAGAGAGCCGAGGGCGGGAGGATTAGAGGAATCGGAGTGGGCGATGTCGTGGGGGTTGAGTTTGCGGGGAAGAGGAGGAGGAGCCGCGTCTGCTGTCGCTTCCCTAACCCAATACCTGTACGACGATGCTCCGGCTTCCTCTTTCTTTTCCTCCATTGTTTCTCTCTCTCTCTCCCTCCCCTCCTTATTTTTAGGGTTTCTCCCTCAATGTCTCCAGAACTTTCCGTCTTTATATTGTTAAATTATTAAAGATCCGCTCCCAATCGGTGCACTCTCGAAGCTTCTTCAATACCTTAGAATACATTATACCATGCACAACACCGGATCCTATAATAACGGGTAACTCGGGCGAAAGTCGGATAAAAGAGGTTTTCCATTTGGCGTAAAATCTTACACCTAATGTAACATTCCTTCCCCTAACAATCACTTGTACTTGTTACTCTCTATATTCTGGTAGGCAAGCTGCCGACAAACAGCCAAGATGGTTTAACTCTGCCGCATCATTTCGAATAAAAACATATCCATATGTCAGTCGATACTAGGCCTCGGTGCTCTTGGCTTGTCAAGGAAGAGTGCAGTACAGTTCCACTTTCACCTTCCTCTCTCTTTGATCAGTGAATTGGGTGCACTGTTGCATTCACTTCCCGAACAAATCTGCATCCCACAGAAACATTTGTTACACACAACCGAAGAACAAAAGAACTATCAACTCAACCCCCTGGTAACGTCATCCAATGTAAACAGAAATCTAATGAATTCTTCAGCAATAGTCGAGAGCTGGTAACACATCAGTTGGCTTCCAGGGTACATATACACTCCGCAGCTCCACATTCGTATCAATTCTTTTTTGTTGCGCAGGAATAAAAGACAAAAAAAAAATCCAAGGATCAAGTCCACACAAGAATCAGCTACAGAGTCAAAGAGACTATATTCATATAGTTTCAATCCGTGGCCAAGGCACCAAAACTTATAGGACAATAGAAAAGGCGATAAATCAGATCTTTTGTAACCTTCATATGGTCAACTATCCTATAATTTCCATCATATGATACTATTTATTAGACCAGAGTTTACTGTATAACAAAGGAGAATGCTCCATAAGATTCATTTTTTCAATCTAGATAAACGTGCACATGTTCTGTAAACAGAACAAAACATACGTATACAGAATGTGTTTAGTTAGTAAGTAGTTCCTGGCATGAAGGGAAATTTCCACACTGCGATAAAAGTGTCAAAACAAAAGGGAATCAGTGACAAGAATATCGACCGCTGACACCTAAGAAAGAATTTCTTCTGCCAGCTGACCTTTGAGAGAGGTTTGATCATTCAGCCTCTGCAACTGATGCTGAAGGATTGAGGAATCAAGAACAGAACGAAAACTCTTCCTATACGTTCCATTAACAAGCAATAGAGGGACAGCTGCTGCCCTTCGAGTTCGAGCAACCGAGAAAGCCCATGGCCAATGCAGGGTCCTCAGAAAGTGTTAACCTATCATGATCTTATCGGCAGTTCAAACAAATCTTGTATTATATATTGATCAGGAAGAAAAACCACCAAAGCCAAATAAAGATAGTCACTCCTATTTCAATCCCAAGACAAAAAGATAGCTCTAACCACAGTGATTTAAGAATTGAAGGCAAAAGAATTTGTACATATGCTGACTGAACATAGGCTTTTGTGAAGGTAACGAGAGTGACGAAAGCCCATCCACGAGCACTTTAAGATCCACTGGTAGCTGTTTGATGTTCCCAACTTTCTGCGTCAATAAAGTGAAGGATTAAACTTCTTTTGGACGTCTACAGTGTCAGAAACTGTTGAGGAAAAAAAACAGACTATGGTAGGAATAATGTCTGGTTCCAATGACATTTCATTCTCAAACAAAAATCCTCTAGATAAGAAGCAAATGTTGTTTCATGGGGAAGACATGATAGCCCAGTGGCTGCATGAAGTGACTCATCCTTACAATTTTAGTGGCAGAATGATACATCCAAGAAGAAAGTGAAGAATTTAATTTGTTTTACTCAAGGAGGAATATGAAGAAGACTGTGGGGCATCAAAAAGTTGCTGAAGTGTGACAAATGGTAAAGATGAGATTAGGTTTTGTTCAGGGATTTGACGGCCAAGTTAGCTCTGCGACATGATTGTTGCAACTACTTACTAGTACAGGCTAGTGCAAGGTCAGGCTGGTCAGCCTTAGTTAGTTGGAAGCAGTTGCTCAGTAGTTTAGGGTATATATAAGGGGATCATAGTATATTTTCTTGGTAAAGTTTATTGGGAAGAGAGTGAGATCCCAAATTTTCCGGACTTATAACTTATTCCTGGTGGAGTAAAATTTGCCTTTTCCACATCATATTCTGTCACAGAACAAAGTGAAAATTTTGATTGTACCAAGAGATGCGGAAACAACCAATTGTTTGTGTAGAGGATTGTCCTCTCGTAACCTCACCGATTCGTCTCCGATTCGCTCGTGTGTGCTCAAGAACAGAAAAGAAAAAGAGACACCGGAGTTACGAGTTCGGTATCGAGCTCTAACACTCGATACCTACGTCTCGGGAAGAGGAACAGCGTTTGCTAGGGTTACAGAAAGAAAGCCGCCGGAGATCGACCGGAAAACCGATCCCGACACACGGAGGAACGAGAATCGCACCACCGAAAGAGAGAGAAATTCAAGACGGCAAAAAACAAGTCACTGCGCACAAATGCCCTAATCCTAGGTCAAATAACGTGACCTTACAAAAGACCATTTTGCCCCTCCGTGTTACCAAACCTTCTGACTCGAACCGAGGTTTCAGAAGCCTCCACTTCGCTCCAAAGGTTTGCTGAAGATATTCAACAAATCTCCACCTTCTTCTGCCAAACCTGCAAAAGAACGAGAAACATGGGAAAACACAAAAAAAAAACCAGACACGCCAAACCCTAGCAGGCTCATTCCCGTAACTTCCATGTAACTCCCCCTCTGGGTATGGTTCAAGGCGCATTGAACCTACCTTTCTAAAGGAGTCCTTACCGAGCGTGTCATAAACACGTCTCAGCGTGACACGACGCACCTAACCTACCCAAGCGAGTGTCCCCCGACACCTCCGCTTCCGAAAGTTACCTAAGACCTAGACTAGTATGACTCCCTAGACCGTCTAAGTGACCCCCTCCGGTGAAGTCTATATCTCACCAATGGCCCCTCGAGGGTCACGCCCCGACATCTACCCGTCCCCCGAGTCTACCCCGACTGTCCCGAGACTAACCTTGAGTCATACAGTCATACTAACACACCTAACTCTTGATCCCCGTA